AACATGAAACTTAATTTCATAGAATCACTCCTTGATAGAAAATTCTTTGTTGCTCTAGCATCAATTAGAACTCTCTCATTGTGTACTTCTATCAAACCATCAATGACAATTAGTTGAGTTTGCTTCTTACTCCTTCCATGAGATTCCAACCATTGCCTTATTCTAACCTTGCATTTCCTTCGCTTTGTATAACCAGTAAAGCCGCGAGGCAAGTAAATTCGTGATCTTCGTATCCAAAAACTTGTTTCTCAACCTCTTCATACTCCATTCCCTCCATGTTGTTGAACGGTTGTCGCAGTATGGGTCGTACTCCTTGTGATGCCAATTGAATTTGACAAAACTTGCCAAAAACAAAGCAGTTGCGATTGCTTCATAGACTATGGATGTATTGCTTATCATCATCCCTTTTCGAATTTGATCTTTCAAGTCTCGTTTGAACACGTTCAATGCTTCTGCTCCACTTATATCCATGATAGATACTTGAAGATCACAAAATTCTTTAATTTACTCATTGATAACTTCTTTGTGATTCAATTTCACAACTTCATTCTTGCAGTTTAAAGAAAGTCCACCACTTGAAAATTTTGTAGAAGTACTTCCGGCATTACACTTCAAGAAAAAATAGCACCTCGTTCTGAAATCATTCTCTTCCATATTATGTAACATGTGAGAGCCTTATACGTAAGATAAGATCTCATGAATATTCTTGCAATATAATCAGAAATATGAAAATGGGATAAATGAATATTCATACTCATTATCCATCATTTAACACTCCCACCGCTCTACTCCCTTTGTAAGCATTCACCTTATAAGATTTTCCTATTCGAAGCAAAAGTTTTGTTTGATCTTCAATCAAGCTACATCCTTCTTCGTCTCTGGATGCATAGGTATCCACCGTAAACCCTTTTTCGTTTGAACCTCGCCATTAATTAAAGTCTCTATCTCTTGAAAACGCATCCTATTTGTCTCTGCTGCATCAATAGGAGTTGATTTTGGCTAAACTTGGAAAGCTTGAACTTGAGGTTCAACTTCCATCTCTCCAACTCTTTCTCTCTTTACTTTCTCACTCTCCAATGCAAAGATTTTATCTTCCATGGCTTTCTGCTTGGTATGTTCATCTACTATGGCTTTTCTCAACTCCTCATCTCCGCCATGATTGCGTTGATAACCTCACGCAATTCATGTATTGGATTCCTGTCAAGCCCATCCATATATGCAAAATGATAATTTATTCCTTTCCTCGTTTCTCACTCTCTCTACATGCAGATCAATGAACTCTCCCAACTTCTATACACTTTTAAAACTGCATTCCATCATCACTCACTTGTTATTTCATGAGGGGTAATCCACACTCGAGGAAAATGCAAGTTTGCTATAATATCATTATAACACTATGATTTAGAGAGAAGTTCACTCGAAGAGGGAAATAGAAACTCTGAAAATGAGATCTTACAACAATGGTTCAACTCTCACTTATATAGCTCTCACCAACAAATATAAGGAGATAAGATATTATTCCAACCATCCATCCCACTCAAAGTGGATGTATGACATGACGGATAACCCTAAGAAGCACAAGGATTGTTGACGTGGCGCTCCCAACTAAAACACTAACTAACACATTCAATCCTTACCTAACAAGCATATGGATTGCTAATGTGGCGTTGTTAACTAACACACCTACTCTCTACCTATCAAGTGTGCGGATCGTTGACGTGATAGCTATGACTAGTGCACGCTAAAATATTTCAATATTTAGAGTAGCATGTACTTTAGTTATAACTAACTAAAAATGGTCACATAACGTTATCAAAAAATGATACATGAATAGAAGATGATTTAAGGCTCTGATATACAACTCATTGACTAGTATGCTAGTTGCAAAGTTGATGTTTAATATTGTTGTAACAAAAGTAAAATCTTCATATTTGAACATTACACATAATTTTAGTTTCTAATTATTTTTTTTTCTTTTGAACGACTTTTTTCTTCTGACCAAATGCCATGCTAAAACTAAATTGGAAACCAATCATTTTTAACAATTTTGGATTTTGATGCACAATTTTTAAACCATAATATTTGACTCTCTACTTCCAAAAAAATGCAATGCAAAAACGTCATTCAAGACCTATCATTTTTTAACAATTATGGATTTTGATGCACAATTTTCAAATCATATGCGTCATCTTTAATCTATCCAAATGATTGTCTTCTAAACATTTTAGAGAATAATTCACGATGTACAACTTTCTACTTCCTCTTTATACTACATTCTTACTTGCTAATGAAACTTCACGTATTTCAAAATAAGTCACGCAAAAATATAAGTTATCTTTTGATCTATTGAAGAAGAAAAAGAAAAATATGCCAAATGTGGATAAGAAAAGACATAGACTACTACGTGTTGGTCGAACACTTGAATTAAAGAATTCTAAATAATAATATATAAATCTTTACATTCTCTTTTTTACTGAAATTTTAAAAATGAAGCATTCTTAAAATAAATTAATATCTATGATACAATATCATCTTGTTATTTTTTATAAATAATATTGTATGTATTATTGGATGCAACACCTACACAAAAGCAAAATCAAGATAAATAAACTCATTGAAGATGATCATGAAAATATTTTATTCATGTTGATAATATCTCATCTAGAATTTTTTTTAACATAAATTAGATAAATAAATAAAATCATGCAAACCAACACAGCTTAAGATTTAACATGTTTTATCTACGCCATGTAATGTCCATAGAATACAGAGACTACTTTATTCAAAATCTTGGCTTTTAAACTAAGAGCTTGTACCAGCTATTTAATAAAGTGTGTGACTTAGTCTAAGTAATTAGAATCAATCTAATAAGTATTACTCAAAACTTTTATTTATATACATCTCAGCATTAAACTAAGAATCACAAACATTAAAACACAAAAATCAAATGACAATAAACACGATGATTCTAGACAATGTCACATAGTTCATCACAAAGAGTTACCTCCAAGGAAAGCTCATGGATGAAAGTATGTATTAATAAAGGATTGTGTTATATACAAACACTGAGGTTAAATACTCCAACACCACCTACCTCTTAGCTATTTTTAGCAAGGATCTTCGACTAACTTAAGCAATGTATTGCATCAAAAAAATTATTATATATTTGCCATGGAGTTTTTTTTATTGTTGATTTCATGCTATTTGTCATAAAAGCAAATTTTGTTCTCAAATCTGTAAATTTTTGAGTTTTTGAACAAAATCTTACAAACACACACAATTTTATGCATGACTTTAAATTTTTAATAAGACATATATTTTAATATGTATAAATGAAAAAAAATCGTTTTTTGTTTGTCCAAATTAATTTTTTGATAGTAAATTTATTATATATCTTTGTAAATAGAAAAATCAGCATAAAAATCTTACAAATGATGGAAAAAAATATATTTTATGAAATATAATCTTATCTTAATTTGCTTCAAGAATTTGTACTATCTGATTGAAGCGTAAACACATGTATCATTTCAAGACAAATTAATTTTAGATTTTGATTTTCATACAAAATTTTTTTGCAATTTCATATCGAGAATCTTCAAAATCAAAATCTCATTAGCTTCAGTCCAACATATTTTAAGGTGATACAAATGAAAGGGAAAATATAGCCAGCACAATAGGATATGACACTCCACCGTATATCTCATACCATTTGAAATATCACGATTCTCTAAAATATACGGTATATTGCTATACTATTATAACGTTTTACCACAAAGTTTTAAAACTTTTAAATTGAAGTGATATATAATGATATACTTCTAAGAAATCAAAAAAATGTTCACAAGAGGAAGGACCTCTTTTAACCAATGAATAAATAACATAATAAAAATATTTAGGTTGAAAACTACAGTCACCTAACAAAAATTAACTTCAAAATTTTGAAATATAATCTCCATTTTAAACAGTTCAACAATAAAATACCCTTGAAAAATATCATTATACTCTGCCCTGACATCTCGCCTTCCTGTGTCGTTTAGTTAAATAAACCAGCCGGAGACAATTTATGCAATACTAATCATGGCCACAACATCTGGGCATGTTTCAGCCAACCATGGAGTTTTGCCACGGACCGTCATATACCCCAACTGCGTCTTTCTGATCAATTCCAAGTAGCGAGTTAGCGGTGGTATTAAAACGGGCAGGCAGTAACCCCTTGATTTCGTCTAACCGTTACAACTACTCTCCAGAGGTCCGGAGCCCACGCTTGGCCCCGCACGGCCCAGGATAAAGGGAGGAACCCGGAGGACCCTTTTAATCACGCATCGGTTATTTTCAGAGGGTTATAATAAAGGTTTGACGATATAAAGAAGAAACAAAAATCAAAAAATAAATTCGATTCCTGCGTCTTCTCGTCGAGGTTCGCTTGTCGCGGGGCCGTCGCAGCCCCCGCGACCCCCACCACCCGCACCCGTAGATCGATTGGTGGAGCCAATAGAGGACGTAACGGGAGCCGATTTCATCCGCATCGATCGATTTGCGATGTAGTTTCTCCTCGCGATCCTACGGCCGCCGAGGCCCGATGTGCGGCAGAATCTGCTCGAGTCGCACTTGGGGCTCATGCGGCTCTTCGGCTCGCTCTGAAGGATTTATGGCTCGATCTCGGCAGAGGCCTGAGATTCGATGAGGGAGCTGAGATCAGACACGAGCTGTCGGGAGGAAAGTCGGTGGCACGTCATGCTCTTGTCACCCCGTACGTGATTACAATCACGGGTGACAGCATCACTCAATTCTTATCGTCTGGACTGAAGGCACGATCGATTGTCCGATCGAGAAACAGAGAGAGATGCAAAAGCACATTCGTGGTTCGAAGGCTCGGGCTCAGGCTTGTCCTGGACTTCGTCCGTCACGCCCAGCGCCGAAACGAGCGAGCGGAATATCGATTTCAAGCCCCAAAACAGATCTACGATTGATTTCGCTTCAGACGCACGGGCGGGGGAAGGGATAATCAGATCGCCAGGTTACTTGCTCATTGCCTTGGAGGAATCCATCTGCTGACGTTTGTGAGATACATCCCACGAAGTGTCACGCCGGGGTACAACGAAGGCCAGCTTCGAAAAATGTCGATCGATGGTGCTCCGTTCGGTGAATGACAGGTATTGTTGAGATGAGAAGCAAGGGCATCGGGAGATGTATCGACTGAGTCAAAAGCAGAACAGAGTGCACAGTGACAGATTGAGGAGACACAGACGAAGCAGGTGCAAGGGAAGGCAGGAGGGTGATGGTGGTCTCAGAAACCCAGCGCATGTAAAAGCTGCTCTGTAGTGCGTGACATGTAGTTACAAGTGATGTTAGAGACATCAATCAAATTTTGTAATATAAGAAGAAAGATGGGTGATCCTACTTTTGTATTTGGCGATTGGTGGCCTCAAATTTCCTAACTACAGTAGGTGGATCACCAACAATGGTCTAAAAGAATGATTTCTAATTAAACTCATCTGCTTAATGATGATGAGAGGGTTGGGCTGGGTCGGGTTGGGCTGGGTCGCTTGATCTGCAGTGAACCTGTGCCCCACTACATGCTCGTTATGAATGAGGTGCTGCTCTGGGGCGGAAGCAGACGAACTATACGTTTGTTTCACACATGTTTTCTTGCAATTTCATTCCTTCAAGCTTGCTCCGGACTTTTGTTGCATGGTCGGGGTCCCTCTTATTGAGGTATGACTGGCATTGATGTGTAACCGTATGCACACTCTGGACGTACCACTACAGCTTTCATTCCGGCTTGCTTGGGCAGCATGATCGATGCCTCGACGCACGCATGCGCGGTGAATGAAGCGTACGAAGGTCCACTGGTAAGGGCATCGTATTGTGATCTCTGTGACCCACCACCACCTCGCATTGTTGTCGGTGGTTGTTGTTGTTGTTGTTAGTAGCTGGTTGTGATGAACTCCTTCCTATTTGGGTTGTCACCAGCAGCACCCTCAAAAATTTGTACTCGTTCGCTCCAAAGCTTCTCTGAAGCTTTCCTCAAACTCGTGCAGCAGCTTTTATGCTTGGTAGCAGCAACTCCTTTACACAGGTCCCTACTATGTGCTGCTAGTGGGATGGACGGTTAGGTGCCTGCCTGCCTGTAGACACTATACCCAGATGGAGTAAAAAATGGTCGGTCACAATGACCTGCTTCGTAATCTTCTTGATCTGCTTAATCTGTGTTGAGTGCTTATGGAGTCCGATTTCGGATCCTTTGCGGTCCCTCCTGCTTGCTGCTGCATCTTTTGCTCCAGCACATCCCGGTGATAACCCTGCAAGATTAACAGTCAAATTACAACGAGCATAATGAGTCATGAGCACCGTGTTCGAAGGAAAATCCAAGACAGCTCACGAGAGCCTTGTTTCATTCATCGATCTGGAACAGTACATTCCAGATGTGCATGATCTGAATATATACCATGGTATGGAATGAAATGGAATGCTAGTAGCGACGAGGAACATCCAGAGAGCCTTACTTGCACTACAAAGTTCCGACGTTCGCAATCCAAAAACATGTTGATGCGCCAAGGCACCTGAGCCATCATCTTATCCCGTACAATACCAAAACTGATCTGATCTCTCGATGTAAAGCGATCGACTTCGTTGAACCATAGGCACCCAAACAGATTCGACAGTGGAGTGTGCTCCCGAATGATAACACATCCCTCTGGCACATCTGGATTTTCGTCCACAACAGGATCTTCAGATGTTTGAATAAAGAGACTGTGTATCAAGTAAACTGAAGCTAGTGCGGCCGACTCGAAAGGAAGCGCGAAATTTTATGCTCACCACTTGTGATCGGAAGCTTCTCTTCGCTGTAGGGAGTCATACCCTCACTGCGATAGAAGTCCACTTGGGCATCGATAGTAGCATTGTCATACTTTCCCGCAGCTTTATTTGCTTCCGCCTCAACAAAAACATCAAAACGTTTATAGTGTCTAGATATGGCTATGGTGTCGTTGGTTCTCCACAAGAATCTGCCAAAGAACATGTCCCGTGAGAAAAGGGGGGGGTTTTACGACTTATTGCATCTAACAGAAGCAAACAATATTTGAGGGTAAAGACACAGAGAATCATCAAGAGCTGAACAATCATTTGTAAGAACATCAATATGCGACTCTCTGAAAACCGTATGTCCCATCTTGAACAAGTTCATAGAAGGAAAAGGGTACCTCTCCAAAATTTGATAGGGGTCGACAACAAGCTGCAACTTTCCATCTACCCACAAAGAATACCGTGCGTTGGGAAACAGTCTGTGAATTAGCAATTTTGGAATCTGCACAAGAAGAGAAGGAATTTGTCAGAGAAAACTCGGCCACAGTTAAAAAGCATGTAATAGTGAGGTGGAGAGATTACTACCAAACCACATCAGTCCTACACAGAGAAGACCAAGCACTAAAATACTCGTCACTTCGACAATGTCATAGCTGGCAACCGAACACTCCTCCGGCTGTTCTCCGGTCCAGCAGTGCTCAAAAGAAGCAACTCAGCACTGGGAACAAACGACATGAGACCACTCGAGGATGACACAGCTGCCTTCGAAGCAGCTGACAAGACGTAGCGGAACAACACGTTCTCAGATACTAACACAAAACACACTCCAAGCAATTCCCGCCACAGGACAGCGGCACTGCTACCCACCCGCATGACGAAGACAAAAATCATTGTGGTGTATCTGGATGTATGTTTTCCATTGCCCTTTGATTGTTCAAGGAATGAGGAGTTTCCGTTTTACCTTCCCAGTTCGTCTCGCATCCGTATAGGGCAGGTTTTTCACAACCACCAGCCTCCAAAGCCCAATCTTTCTCGTACTCCGCAAATCCGCATTTGTGAGGAGGGCCCGTCCTGTTTCCTCGTCGATGAACATGAAAAAGCAGACGTTGGCTTTAGCCTCTGCGCTGATGTTCGCCGGTTGTTGAATATCGTCATAATTCCCTGTAGACAATCAGTGGTCCAGCTATGAAGGTCAGAATCTGGACACCAGAAGAGCGTGAGAGCTCTAACATCACAATCGTACAACAGATAATCGATTCTAACAGACTGACTGGTATTTGTCATAATCAACGACATACCAAAAATTGCCGATCCTACAACTACACCTCCACATTTGTGCATCTCCGCACGATCTTCCTCCGAAATGTCATATCCCGTTCCCACTCCAGGATCACTTCCTTTCACAAACCTGTAGGACCGGCAGCGAAAGAAGAAGGTGGCAAATCAGACTTTGGCAAGCAGAACAAAGAATACATCCGTTTGCTCTAATTCTCCCCTCCCCTCCCCTCCCAACTGCAGCCATAACATCGCCCTAGCTCAAAGAAGCCCAGATATCCCGACCTCCTGAGGCCCTCTTGACTCTTACAGAAATCGGTACAACGGAGGAAGGTTTGCATGCTAGTTGAGATTCAGACCCGCAATGTACAGCCATGTTTTCTCGAATCGTGTACGACTGAGCGCGGTCTTCCAAAGTTGGATGGCCTCCGAATTCCGATCCACTGCCCGTACTTAAAACATCTGCGATTTCAGGCTCTCTAATGTAGGTCAAGTGCTTGAGCACAGGTGTACGAGTTGGGCCTGGCGGCATCGCTTTGATGGCTTGATCCACAGGAAGGTAGCAAACTGGACAAGCTGCCATTGACAAAGTTCACACCTTCAGTCTGGTGACCGTTCAGTGATAATCCTCCATGGATCCTAAACCTCATCTGATCAACTCGGAACTGCAGATGTGGTCACACACACACGAGGAAACCTAACACACAGAGTGCTGCAAACATGGCTAAGTGCACACCTCGCAGGATCTCCAGTTACAGTTTCAGATGAAAAATAAGCTCGGCACAACAGAGTCCTGCAGAAGGATATGCAGAGGTTTGGAACAGGGTTGGTTTTAGAGGAACTTACGTCGTGGGCCTGTTCTTTTCTTGTCAGCAGGTGGAGGAGGGAAAGTGAATCCCTGACACGGATGATCTGGAGGTAATGAGGTATCAAGGTATAGTACAGGAGCCGCCCGAGTCCTATTGTCCTTCACTAGAATTTGGGTGGGAGGGGGCTCCCGCAGGCTACGATCGTGATGGGGTTTGTCCTCAGAGATCTCCTCACGTTGTAGCCTACGAGGATCATCCTCGTGGATCATCCGATGAGGATCATCCTCTCGAAACCGGAGAGGCTCATCATCGTCTCGGGGAATACGACGAGGTTCATCCTCGTGTTGTATCCGACGAGGAATATCCTCCACACGCCGCATTCGATGAGTTTCATCTTCGTCACGTCGGACCTGACGAGGAGGAGGCCGCACCTCGACCTCGGCCTCGACCTCGTGGTCTAGCAGAGCCTGCCGCACTTCGTCGTTGTTAATTTGCAGTTCCAGGTTTTCGATGTCCAGGTTTTGCCCGTCGAGGTTTAAGGCGTCCTGCGTCTCTTCCTCCAAAGTCTGGGCCTCCGATTTTTCCTCGCTCGTTATTTCTCCCCACCCTTTCTGCATCGTCGTGATGATCAACGACCCATCTAGGTCACGGGCTGCAAAACAGCCACCACCACCACCATGTTCGCCTCCACTCAGTCAGTCAGTCAGTCAGTCAGTCAGTCAGTCATCATCCATCCATCTCTCTCTCTCTCTCTCTCTCTCTCTCTCTCTCTCTCTCTCTCTCTCTCTCTCTCTCTCTGCAATTTTCGCCACCATGTTCGGGCAATCGAGCGTCGAACTTCCGTTTCGGCGTTCGGCCTGCATGCAAGAAATCTCTGTCGGGATGCTACCATGAGAGGGAGGAGCTTGTCGAGCTGCCCTGCTCATCGGCTGACCTACGAGGAGCTAAACAGAGCTAAACAGAACCTTGGACTTGGGAGCTCGTGATCAGATGCTAAAATGATGACGAATTCAAATGAGCTGATTTGAGCTGAAAACCGGTTGCTAAGCTCGTGATCGCTGCAGGTGATGCTCTGCGGAGGGGGGCTTCGTGAGCTCCCGGGGATGAAAATTGAACATGAGAGAACCAGAATTCGCAGCCCTAATTTTCGGAATTGTAGCCCTGCGCTCTTGCTTCACATTATACACGGGCAGTGCACGAGTCTCGTCCCTTCACGCAGTCGGTTGGAACTTATAAAGAAGAAACTACTACTGCTGCTGCTCCTCCTCCAGGTCATCCGTAATTTGCAAAGTGATTAACCCTGCATTGTCGAAAGAGACGCATGATCCCCTCGCCCAGTGCATCGAGGACGCCTACCAAGTCTACCTGAACTGTCTACGGCCCAAATCCACCTCCCGCAGCACCGCTTACATCCCCGGGCACGACGAATCGACCGCTCGGCCGAGAAAACCAAAAGTCCGAAGAATTTGGAGAGAATTTCGCGCAGCTACTGACTCAGATCTGGCGCACAAAGTGCGCGGAGGCCAATTCCAGCTTCCCGTACACGACACCAAACGACGGGTACGTCCAAATCCGTGATCCAAACACGCCATCTCTATCGCCCTGTACAAAATCACGCTGGCGATGCCTGCTCTCTCTCTCTCTCTCCCTCTCGCTCAGCTGCTAATCACCGGATGGATGTTCATTCCAAATGATACCGATTGCAATACGCTCATTCTCAGAGAAGTCAACTCTCCGGCAGGCGGAGCATCGCGTCCATGCCCGAGCCGCAATCTCTCGCGATCCATCCGAGCGGCAGGAGGAAGGCAACAAAGCGAATTCGCGGAGGGCACGAGAGAAACAGAATGCGGGAAAAGAAAGAGAGCGAGGCAGAGAAGGACTCACCGAAAGGAGATTGACGAAAATGGAACGAGATGATATGAAAGTTGTTGACGATCATGAGCAACGAGAGGAGGGCGAGCATCAAAGCTGCCCACATCCCAGCGCCTCGTGATGCCAGCATACGGAGAGTCGTCCAGTTCTTACTTTGCCTCCTCATAGTTGTTCACTACCGCCCATTCCTGTCCGACGACCACTCTACTCCGCAACTCTACTCCGTCTGCCGCTCGAGATTGTAAATCCTCCTCCGCCCGCAAGAAGAATGCACTGCGTTCCTGCCTCGCCTAATCAATCCTCCGACCTCAGGGTCCCGCTCTCTCTCCCCCGCTCTCCCTCTCCCTCTCCTCTGTCTGTCTTCTGTCTGTCTGGATTCGTGTCAGTCTAGAATCTTCTGATCTGACGAGCGCCCAGTAACGCACGCACGCACGCACGCAGAGGCAAATGCTGGAGCTCACGAAGCTCTCATTCCAAAACCCCTGAGGCGATCAATGGATCATCTGGATCTGCCCGCTGCCACAACGCATCCCATGATCCTGATGCTCTCGCTAGCCCTGGAGAGATGCACGCGGCCCTGGAGCTTAAAAACCTGTAGGCCCTGGCGCAATTCATCCAATCATCCTCAGCGCAACGCCGTGCTCAATCCGCAATTGCCAAAAGCGCCCGTCCCGCCCGTCGGACTCCGTACTCATCTTCCCATCTCTCTTCTCCGCGCCCGATGCGCCTCAGCATCAGAAGACGGAACGCGGCCACCGAGTGCAGTGATTGAGTGAGTGAGTGAGTGAATGAATGAATGGCTGACTGGATGATTGAACCGACCGAGCGACGAATTGAAAGAACGACAGCCGAGCTAGGCCAGGGCGGGCCGATGCGAGGCGACGCAACGCAACGCAATCCCAACAAAAGCGAGCAAGGAAGGAGGACAGGACGACGAGCAATGTTGTCCCGAGCGGAAAGTGGAGAGAGGTGCACGGGCCAATCTCCTTTCTTCAGCAGAAAGCGAGAGGACGTTGGCTTTGAGTGAGTGCGTGATGAACCAGAGTGACAGACACAGACAGAACTGCAGCAGCAGCGGCTGCTGGTGCTGGTGCTGATGATGATGGTGATGATGGCTGGGTTGGGATTGGGGGGTACGGTGAAGGTGGTGGGAGGCGGCAACAGCGAGCAGACACACACTCGCTCACTCTTCGGGAAGAAGGAGAGAAGGAGGAGGAGGAGAGAGGGAGCAAAAGGGGACAAGAGGGAGGGAGGGAGAGAGGGAGGGATGATGCAGAGCCCCCACAACTACTGCTCCTTCCTCCACAAAAATCACTCATTCATCTCTCCTCTCTGCTGCGCTCCTGCTGCTGCTGCTGCTGCTGCTGCCGGAGAGCTCTGCCCTCTAGCCCTCTGCCTCTCGACGAGATCTGCTTTTCTCTTTTTCTTTTCTCTTCTCTTCTGTCTTCGCTCCTCTAATCTGCTCTGCTCTGCTAGAGAACATACGCTGCTCCTCCTCCAGCACCTCCCCTCCTTCTACAGCTCTACATGCCGCTGCCGGCTGCGGCCCGTCCCTCCGAGTCATAGGACAGTGGCCTGCTGCCGCGCTCAGCTCGGGCTCGACTCGGCTCGGCTCAGCTCAGCTCAAGCTTAAGCTCAGCTCAGCGTATGCTGGCCAGATTTGTGAACAAAGGGGGCCTTTGTCTCCTCCTCCTCCAAGTGTGAGGGACGGTGCACCACGAACCAAGGGAAGTGGTGGAGGAACAGTCAGGGAGAAAGTGGCGCACCTCCTCCTTCTTCTTCTCCTCCTCCTGCTCCTCGCCTCTCGGTCTCTCGAGATCTCACTGTTCTCTCTGCTTTCTGTTATTTTCCCTGCAACGTGTTTCTTCTCCTCCTGCTCTTGCTCTTGCCCTCCCCCTCGCCCTCTCCCTCTCCCTCCCGTCCTTCGTCTTCGTCTTCTCCTTCTCCTGCACTGAAACACCTACAGCCTCCTTAAGTCCGCAATTATAGCTTGCGCTGCTAATTTAAGCCCGGGGCCCGTGAAGCCCGGCCCTTCTACCCACAAACTGGGTTCGAAAAAACCGAGCGGATCATGGGGCCCGTTGTCACGCTAACTTTGGCCATGGCAGACGGCAGCATTCGATCGACTGGCTCAGAAGTCCAGCAGCCTGCGATCGAGTGTTTTCCTGCCTGCCTTTGCCAGCCCCGATTTCCCAGGCATGCTTGCCTGCTAACTTAAGCTCCGATCCATCCACACATCACCTCCCATGGCCCATAGCGCCCCGCCCTCCGTCATGGTTGCGGTCCAGCCTCGGTAATCATGTCCCTTGTGGCTCAAACGAATTTGCGGGCCGCAGACATCCATTACTCTGTTTTGTTCTGTTCTGTTCGGTTCGTCCTCCACCCCTCCACTCACTGGCAGCTGAAGACCACAGCAGCCACGAAGTGAGAGACAGGGAGATGGAGGGACTAATTTTGGGTGCGGGAAGCGATCCGGAGACCAACCCGAGGTTCAGCTAGCTGGCTAGCGTTGCCAAGTGCGGATGAGGCTGGGGACATGGGAAGCAATGAGGTGCCGCTTTTCTGCTCTCTAGCTGCCAAACCCAGACGAGCCCGAGCCATGCATGCAGACATTCACTACACTACACTACACTAAACTACACTCTTCATTGGGAACAGGCTCCACCGAACCTACTGTCACAGTACCCCTGCTACCACTACTCTGGTCAGTCAGCCGGGTTTCCTGCATTCAAGTGAGTTCCAACTTCTCGTGGACGCCCTGACCTGCCTGCCTCCCTGCTTGCACAGCAGAGTCACCTGACTCACTCACTGACTGCCTCTCTCCCGCTTGCTCACACCACCTCAGTGACCTCACGGCCTCACCAACCAGAAAGTGCACTAAACATCTCCGAGAGGAAGAGGCAGATGGACAGAATTGATGGAAAAGTTAACGTAGATTAGTATGGCTGAATCTGGGCTGTGCATCGGCTTGCCGTCTTTAAGATGCTCTGCAGTCCAGGCCCAGTAGATGCTAAGGTGGGGCATGCTCTCCTCGACCAGAAAGACCAGACGCACTGCTGGCCCCACAAAAAGTGTCCAATTCGCTTCACATTGGCATTCTAGGTCCGTCCGTCCGTCCCTCTAAAGCTCGATTGCCTTTCATGCGTTCTTATCAATTCTTACCATCCCCTCAATTCCATCCCCCACCTTCTTTCCAGCAAGACGTAGCCGAAACCCGAGACATCTGGACTCGTCGCCATCGCCAAATCTGGCCACGAGCACTAGTCCAAGCAGACAAGGCCTTGACCTCGCCAACTGCTAGGGAGGGACTCGTTGGGTTGGGGCCCCTGGAGGTTTGCGAACTGTTGTAGTCCATGTGGTGGCGAGGGCCTCGTCCTTTCCCGAGGACGGGAAAGGAGGCACCATTCGCAGACAGTGATCTAAATCCACGAAGACTCGTTCGTTCATGAGAGGATCTAGGACCACGACATGATCCTGAAGAAGCAGCCGGAGGTCTGTTACTTTAAGCGCTGAGCCGCTGGCCCGTCTGCCTGCGTGCTCACTCGCCCCGCCCTCCGTAGACTCAGAGTCGGTGCGTGATCGTTGTCAACATGCGGTTTCGTATGTGATCTCTAGAGGAAGGTAAGTTAGGCTCAGTTAATGCTGCGTTGCATGATCGACATCGCAAGCATGCGTAAGAAAAACGTGATCCATCCCACTGTGGTCTCGGCAATCCAGGATCCTCCACTTTACTCCACTCCACTCCATTCGTCCAGCTTGAGCCTGAGGGAGCCATCTTGGGTGATCGAGCAAAACCTGCTGGTTGAGCTTGAGAATGAGCGTTTGGTTGAGTATTTCGACCATTTCAGTAAATCTCTTTTTAGAGACGTTTTCCAGTGACGTAGAGAACCATTGAGAAACCCCCAAAATCATCATCATCATCATCATCGAGATGATGATGATGATGAAGATTTGCTCTTTGTATTCTCAATCACTGTTATTGGGAGAAGCAAATTCAGTGAGATTTGTGTTTCCACCATCTCATGATCAACCACCCCTGATTCTTGAGCCCACGAGAGAGGGAAGCCATACTTTCCGTCTACACGACCTATAGCCTACGACTACTTATAGAAACTCTTGATGCACTTAGGGGCACATAATAGCAGCATAGCTCTGGATATTCAATGAGGCAAAATCCCACGTCATGTACAACGATCGGAACCCTTTTCTATCGATTCTCTTCGATTAAAAACCCTCATCCTCTTTCGAGAATGCTCTCAACAACCATAACTCATAACTCTTAGTCATCGTCGCTCAAATGTTATCTGACAGGTTTTTAAATCACCAAGCATACCGGCAGCCTCAACTCTACTACACACGAAAGCCATGTAAGGAGCATGTTTTCAACTTAGAGGTGTTGTGGATCATATCGATCTACATGTTGATCGAACGCGACCAGATCAGAGAACAGGACGTGACCACAGCCAGTCATCCGAGCTACCAGACGAGCTAGAATATCTTGGTTCTGCAAATACATAAACGCACTCACACACAGCCCCTTAAATACCGCCTCCAACACTCACTCCCGTTACCTCTAACTCGAGGTTTTCAAGCTGTACTGCACTCATTTCTCCTCTACGTCCTAGACGTGAAAACGAAAAGGGAATCCTACTCGGATCTTGTCATGTAGCATACGCTATATGCCAGTTACATGAACATGGCAAGTCGTCATGAACTCGAGTCCTCAGCTGCGAAAAGGTCAAGTCAATTCGAAGTATGGGGTTGGGAAGAAACAGGGATTCAAGGGATCTATGGAGCTCGCTCCATCCAGTGGATACAGTACAGTACTGTACAGTATCGGAAATTTGAGGGCGTGTGAGACACGCAAACGAAGAGCGAGCGATGGGCAACGAACGAACGATGGATCGATCGATTCCAGAATGATGCGTCCAGGCATGTGCGACAATGGCCCGGAAAGGAAAGTAGAGGAATGGAAAGGGTGGGGCACGAGGAGAAAGGGAAAGCCGCGGAGGGGAACCAGAAGCTCGTACCCACATCCGTCCATTGCCTCGTTGGGCGGCCTTCAAAGCCAGCTCCACTTTGACGGCAATACGGCGAATATTCCGATGCCGGTGACGTCTGCTGGCCAAAAGTAGTACACAGTCGCAGAGTGAGTGGCACACTTCTGTTCGCTCGCACCTTCATATCGCGATAGCGAACGCGAATGCGAGTGCATCGATCACAGAGCTCGCTCCCGGTCTCTGGTGTTGTCTGGCCAGGACCCAAGGTCATGGACCGGTGGCTACAGGTTTCGTCGTACCAGTCCAACTCAGGTACGGTGTCCACATTGACTCAGTTATTCAGTCGCGAATCAGTTATTCCTCTCTTTACGAAGCTACTTAATTTGCCCGGTCAAACCTTGTGATTAGCCTCGTGCACTTACTCGAGACGCTCGGACTACAGAGCAAGCCAGTGCAAGTCATGCGATGTTTGCCTCATGCCGCACAGCGGATGTCTTTGACCGCCTTCTCCAGTGGGGTCCAGATTCCGATTTGACATTTTCCGCTGTCATCTGAATACTCCGGATTTTAAGCAGTTGACAATTGGAACATAACTGCGCTAGAGTTGCTTCCACTCCTCCTAGAGTCCAGTCGTCATTTATTTCGTTTCACACGAATTTATTCTTGTAGGTTTATCAATCCCAATGATCGCACTAATGACATAAACCACGCTTAATCTGCTATGCATACAGTTCTGAGTAATCAATCTTTTCTAAGTCACCATTTTGCCTCTTAAAACCAACCAAAATGTTATCAGATCTTCAAAATATCCAACTCCAAGTTTTTCGGTTTTCATATCTGGTTCCACATGTTCCACATCATTCACAGCACAAGAACCCAAGCTATGGAGATTGGAGAACACTTGACTTTGATTCATAAAATCTTCGGTTTAATCCTATCACCGTCATGCTTGTGATTTTTTCTCGTGACGGATGGCATCTATACATGTTGTAGAGCCGTGTTGTTAATCAAGAGCTTTGATAACTCGCAAGAGAGCAACCTCTGGCACTATAACAAATTTTAGAATTACTCACAGTATATTAGTTACAATAGCTATCCTGATTTCAAACTAAGTTCTCTAATTTATTTTAAAGAAGAGCGTTCTAAAGTCATGTGGGGAAAAGTGCATGGAACGACGCTGCCATCGGAATGAAAGTCCCGATGATATGAATATTATCAAGATTGTTAATATGTAATAAGATATCATCACATATAGTCAATTTAGTTGTCAAAATGTAATGACCAAAGTAAAAGTCTATTTTTACAGTCTTTTTATATTTTTTTTCTATGATTTGGTGTGCAACACTTATCTTTGATGGCTTCTTCGTGTGCAATATTTACTGTAGAACTGAAGTGAAAGAATTTTAGAGATGATTTTGAAAGTCATTTAAAGATAGAAAGAAGATAAAGTTTATGTTTTATTCTAAAAACAGAAAAATATCTGTAAAATAAAAAATGAAAATACTGATGCAAAGTCACAAAAGAGAGCTATAATTTTGGAAAAAGGAGCCCTCTCATGGGATCATCCTTTTGGATTTTTTACCATGGGATGCAAAACTGAACTTTCTATGCTTAGCCATGTAAAAAGTTGCAAGGTAATGTTCAAGGATGAAATGAGCTACTGTAATAATACAGTCTTTGAAATTTTGTCTTATATTTGCATCATAGTTTGATTTTAGCATTTCAAACAAAAGTTTGAACTTTTGTTTGATGAAATTTACATGAGTTGAATATTATAACAAAAATTTTAATCTAGAATATTTATAACCATGAAGCATAAGTTTATGAGATCTATATGAATTGTGAAAAAAAAATTATTATACATAACCATCTTCAATTAATCAACACTAAAGTAGATGTTACTCAATGTGAAGTAAAGTTACATTATAGAAATTATTTATAATCTTTATGTCAACAATTCATTAGTTTGATATGTAATTTGTAAATGTGTTATTTGAGAGTAATAATTGTATGTATGTTTGTTACTTTTATCCCCTATTAGTGTGATGAAGGAGTTGAGAACTTATGTCCTTGTACTGGTCTTAAATATTTATACAATGGAAATATAATCATGCTAGTTATCTCTCATCTTCTTGTGTTTTTCATCTTTATAAGTTACTCTCTTTAACACTAATCTTACATTGATTTTTGATACCAACATAAATATTTTAAATATTTGAAAATAATTATTTAAAATTAATGAAATAAAAATCTGTACATTTTTTTGATAGATATTGAAAGGATGTTTCAAATTTTTGATAACTAAAATTAAAAAGCATAAAATCAAAATAATCTTTGCATGTCATGTTTATATTTAATAATTTTTTACTTGTAAAATTATAAGAAAGAAAAATTTCAAAATCCAGTCTCAATCAATTGTAAAAATAAAATTTTCAAATTTTCAATAATATTCTAGACATATCATTATGTCAAAGTTAATGAAATGGCATGAATAGGTTATATTATACATGTTTTTTAAAAAATGATTTTCACGATGTTTTAGAAAATTATACTTATATTTTCAATTTCAAAATTTTGAAATAGTACTTCAAGGCATACTATTTTATACATAAGTATTAAAAATTCATATGAATAATTAGTGATTACATTTAACATTCAAAAATTAATCAGCCATAAATTGCGAATGCGCATTCTTTGACATACTTTATTTTTGATGATTTTAATTTAAAACTTTATATATTATATGATAATAATTTAAGATTTATGAGCATGTGATGTGTAGTTTTAATTATAGCATTCAATCTCATGTAAATATTATATATCATAAGCCAACTGTTAGATTAATGATACGATTGTAATTTTTTTATAACTATCATGTCATCTTTATCATGCTTTATGTTTTGAACCTTTTTAGTCATATAGATAAAATTTATTGATAACATATAAGCATCATAAAGATAAGAACAAAATGATACATTAGATAGCATTTAATTTTCTATTAAATTTTATATATTTTTTACAACATCAAATTCTACATTAAATCTTTTCATTAAAAAAATTTAATGTAGCGTGCAATTTTTTTCAAAATTTTGGAAATAATATATTTCATAATTAATTATTTATTTATTTCAATAATTTTTTGAATAGTATTAAGCATATTTTGATGATAATACTTGTATAAATTCAGACGTTCAGTAGAAAAATTTCGAATACTTTACATGATTTTGGGAATTAAAATTATTTCATATTTTAAGTTTTTATAAATAAAGAAATCAACATAATTTATGTTAGCAACACCAAAAATTGAAAAAATAATATTTAACGATAAAGAGTGAATGAGATTAATGAATAAGAAAAGGATTTTGTGTTATAAATAACAAAAATATGTCTTAGATTAAAAAATCAGAATTAGGGCTGAAATTATTGGCTTTACGCCAAAAAATGTGCTAGTTTCGGGCCATGCACCAAGAAATAAGAATTTGATGCAAATCTGATTGAAGCAAGCCGATCAGATACCCTATATCATGAGGTCTTCTCAACTTATATCCAAATGCAGAAAATCTTGTGACAGTCCACGAGTGTCTCCTAATTGCGTGAACAAGAATTATGCTCCCCATGCTACAAGCGAACAATCCGAGGCATCAGATCTCATAAGAAATCCTTTTGGACTCGACTTTTGTGGCGACAAAAGTTTCACGTTGCCGCCTTCTTTGCCAAAAAATACTTCCTGTTATTGAACATAGCATGTCTGCAACAAAAAATTTGGTTCACTAACTGATCCCTCTATCTCCGAAACATAACGCCAATGGTGCGCTTTGTCATTTTGATTCTTTGACCACTGAATGAACCTCCCGGTCTATTTCCTTCCTTTTCTTTTCTGTGATTATTTTCACACTTTCGACTTCTGGATTTTCTGACGTCCTTACCTTCGGACAGTTTCAGCTCCTATAAGAACACGTACAAGCATGCGTACAAGAACTCTTGTCAATCAACTTGGTAAAATTAATCGTTTACTGGCTGATGCAAAGGATGGCAGACTTCGTAAGCTCCCCGGTTGACATTGGAATTTGGCCGGTAGAGTCGGGAAGTTGCGCGTAGTGGGATCCGCCTCCAAAAGGCCATCTTCGGGATGACGGAAGTGCTGGAAAACGAGGGGTACAATTTAAGCATGTCGGGCAATACAGTACTTCCGTCATCATCATCATCTCAGCCAGCAATAAAATAGAAGAAAACTGCTGAGGAGAACGGGAGAGGGTATTACGAGGACCCGAAATAGACCAGTACGCCCTCGAACAGTCCCAGCGTCGGTACCATGCGAGGAAAGGAGTTATGGCAACCCGAATTAAGGGCCGAAATATATCACCGATTTCTACCGGCAAACCCTTTCAGGCCGCCGGATGTATGAGGAAGCCTCCAGGCCTGTCCGGTGCAGCTCCCAGCCTGCCGGTATCATCCGCCCGGGCTACGGTGCAAACCGGAGGCTTGATCTGGTGAAGCTGCAAGTTTCAAACTCACACTTTTAGCAACGGCTGCCGCTGCTGCTGCGGCCGCCGCAGCATCAGCTGTAGTCGCTTGTGAACAATGCGAGTCTAGTAGATTCCATTCGAGTCTCCTGTCCGTCTGGCAGGCAGGCAGGCAGGCAGGCAGTCATGACCGGCGAGACCCGGTCAACAAGAACGAGGAGGGGCTCGGGGAAAGTTGATGAGTTGACTAACATGCACGACGTATTCTCCGCGTATATACTCTTTGACTAGACGATGGCATACATGCGCTCTTCGTTCCTCGATTCAAAATATTCAGTTTCCTGCTTTACGTTATGTAGCTAGGCACGTCAACGTTTGCGGGCGTCTGTCTGTTAGTCTGTCTCGTTGCATTTTCGCACTTGCCCCCAAATTCTGCCTTGCAATGGAAGAAGACGCTTTTCAAGAATCGGAAGTCGAAATTTTCTGTGTCCCCGTCAAGCGCGATCGTTTCTGGCGCACGATGGAGTTCGAAACGAGGCAGCAAGATCCGAGTGTAACAGGATTACTGTGCCGAGCAGTGCAACCTTCCCGAGGAGCGCTGGAATCTTACAGTTCTGGCAAATATTTACTCGAATGGCAGGAGATCCACTGTGGTCTCGATTGTTGGTCATGAAATTCTTTCAAGCGAATTACTCTTCTACGAGTCCCCAGGTGAGGCAAGTTTATGGCTGAGCTTGCATTCTCCCTGTGGATGGAACGATCTTGGTCTTGGTCTCAGTGGGGAATGTTGAAATTTTCAACCTTGTATTTGAAATGTCTGATTTCGCAATTCATCTCTCGACAATTGCGGACAATGATAAAGGCCCGAAGCGGTCGCAGTCTTGAATTTCAGTCTGGTCCTGTCCAGAAAGAACGCCGAGAACAACTTTATGAAGAGAGCTTTTCGAGAAGTTCTGTGCAGGCCGTGATCACGGTGCAAGAGTCCCACCGCCTCTTATTTTGGTAACTGCGTGCTACTTATTCCTCTTGTTCCGCTTCGTGTTCCACACACCACGCTGATCAGGAAAAACATATGAACAAAATGATTTCGTCAAGTACGGTGACAAAAAGGGAAAATTGCAAATTTGGCGCTTCTCACCGAGTCAAATCTTAGAATGATGTGCAAGATTTGCTGCAGGACGTCTCAAAACTGACTTTTCTAGTAAAGTCGAGGGAACAAAACTTCACGCTGTAGATACATAGCATCTGACTTCTCAATTGTAACCATTTCTTTAGCTCCATGTATGAATCGAAAAAGTCGACGCATTAAATGAAAAAACCAATGGCAGAAACTCCCCAGAGAAAACAATGTTGAGGCCAAAAGCGAAAAGCGAAGGAACAGTGAAATACGAGGGAACTGATCACTCTCACGGAACATTTGTATTCTTTCCAAATCATGCATTTGTGACATCTCGTGCAAGTAAAAGATCTACTTGGGAGTATTGAGCGTACAAATACATCTATGATTGTACTAAAATACATGTTTGAATGTAATTAGGAAACCTGAAATATATGGAAGAATATATGTTCATTTTATAATATATCTATATCGTTATACATCACCATTGATCGATGCGGTTATGCATGCTTCTATTGTTACTATTGAATTTGACTTTCATAAATAGATGATTGTAAATCGGACTTTGTACATAGAATAAGACATATTTTAATTTCAGATATTTACTATTCTCCGATCATAACGGTTTCATCCATGTACTCATTGATTGATGTTTTTTCATCCCTATTCGGGCCATTTTCTCTTTATGAATACTTGCCCTTTACACGAGGAAACAGAGTATTGGCATAAAGTTGAGTGATTACGTGAAATGTTGTTATTCAAAAAACAGGATATGATAAGTTTATTCGATGGATATCAAAATCTGCCATGTCTGACAAAAGGTCGTCTAGATTTGCGCATTGGCCGTTCCATCGAGTGTGGCAGGTTTTCCTGGGAATGGCTTTTGAGGACGTCTATTTGGTTTTCCAAGTGTGGGTCTACTTCATGTCTTGGATCACGAAATGTCTCCAGCCTTTGAACATTCTTGTCCAGCCAGCGCCACAGGGACCTGATGGAGTAGAAAGTGCGAGCGATGCCAGTACTGTATTATAATCCAAGTTGACGAATCTTGAGGGCGTGGGTCGTCATCACGATAACCTCGCCAAGCCCAGAAGGTCATGATTTCCTCTAAGGCTCGGCAAGGCTACCATGGAGCATCCTTCCTTTTGGAAAAGGACCGAAACAAAGAGTGGAAAAATTCGGTAAGCTCGGACGAGACCTCGAATGATCTGCAAATTGTTCCTTCCGCAGTACTGGTTTTTTTTGTCTCTTTTCGTTTCGGCCTCATCTACTAGAGTATGAAAACGCAGCTAGATTCTCCATTCTCGACCTTTTGGTAGATGCTGTGCGCCGAGTTCGGTTGATTAAATTTGCTCGTAGAAAATGTTCGCACTCACCTTCAGCATCGTTGCTTCATATTTCCTCTCCAGACCTTCCCCTGCCAGAAGGATACATGTGCCCCGCAATATTCTTCGAAAAGTATGAGAATTCCACCCTCCCCACCTGGCGGATCGAGTTTCCTAGAGTATAACGTGAACGCAGTCTTAGGCCAGCAGGTTTAATGTGTGGCCACGACTCACTCCCTCACTCATAAAGCCCTACACTGCACGTCCATATTGCAAGAGAATGTTGGAAGGCAAGTCCACTTCGAATTTAAATCGGGTGCGTTTCACGTGGTGAAGGCCAGTTCATGTACGACGTCACCTAGAGAGGTTCTCAGTCTATTGTGACCTACATAAAATTTCGGAATAAAGGAAACGAAAGATACTCTCCAACAAATTTTTTGCGTCTCCAATTGTCTCGAAAACGTAGAGGCCATGTGCTAGATATCATTCCGCGCTCCAGTATCAAACGTGACACTCGTGTACAATCATGTGAAAAGCTGTTGAGCTAAGGGATGTAGACCAGGGTCGGATCTTTGCCACTTCCCGCCGCCTAAAGAGCATGCCTGCGTGTTAATAGTAGCTGTTCTAGGTACCGAAGAGGAAGGATTTGGTCATCCTCGTGCTTAAAACTCTCATGATTTCCTAGAATACAGTCGGACAGCACCTTACGGCAGATTTCAGAGTACCAAGATTTGTCTTTGAAATTCACTTCCGTATCTTGGTATGTTGCTTGCTTCCTAATTTTGAAGCTTCGGCTCTTGATCACGCCACTGTCAACTGGACAGGCCCTGCCCTCACACGAGAGAGTGCCCTTCACTAATGCGAAGTGTGAGCAGTAACAAAGATTAGGCATGGCTTGAATTTCATCCAGGGGAAATTCCGTATTCCACAGAACTTGAGAACACCATTCCGAAGGATCGGAGAGATAAATAGGGTTGTGCAAGAAAGTAGCAATCCATTGGACGCTTCAGTCTTGGATTCTCCAGACCAGAGACTAGGCTATCAAACAATTTGAGCTTTCAATGACTCGTTCAGATGTTGAAACGTTCCAGGATCACAAATCAACCCAAAATGTACACATGGTTCTTACTCCAGAATTAGCTCTACGAAGCTTTGAAGATTATGCGGTCGATTTGTACCCAACTTCATGTATACTAGAACTAGAATTCACTTAGTTTCATGCACTTCCTAAGGATGTAGTATGTCCTCATACTTGTAACATCACTTGAACCCGTCGGTGGGCCGGAAGTTCATCACCAGAGGCCTCAATACCTAGTCTCTACTCTCCCCACAGTTGAGTTTACGAAACTTGTGGATCTGCTCAGGGGCATTTGATCTAGTGCGAGCGAAATCTATCGGAGAGATATCACTACCGGAAGTTTGACCGCTCAGGAGGGCATGGAAGCCTCGTGCACACTGACTCCCGTGCAACACAAGGGATCAATCCTGTCGATCATGCTTCTGAAGCCTATGTACATTGTACAGTGGATGTCCTTTGGTATCACAAACCTGCGTGAGCAACTTGACTAGCGTCTCCGAGCACAGCCTGTCCCTTCTCACAGACTCCACGCTTCTGGCTTGTGCCTCTGCCAGCACTGCGAACGTCTCCGCATGCCTCAGGCTTCGCAAGAGGGCCCTCGTAAGCATCACACACGATTTTCTCTACATCCTCATATTCCTGCATCAGTCACATTCACAACATACCCATCTCCATTAGAGCTACACGCGGCGGCCCAGATTGGAGACCTGACCCAGTTTTTAGAGTCCTTACTCAACATCAGGTTTTTCTTACAGTTACTGGAAAGACATGGCAGGTACCGAAGATCCACACAGCTCCAGAGGCTTATTGACATCTAACCCACTAGTAAGCAGATCTTGGAGCTTGACAACCTCGGAGCATCCGTGAGGAGAGAGCATTTCGCATGTGGGTGAGCTTCAGATTCTTACCTCGTAGAGAGGAGTTCCATTGACGACAACCCATGGGACATACTTATGAGGTGGGTCCAGGCTGTCTGTCTCCGCTCCGAAGGCTCTTACAATCTGCACGGTCACATGCCATGAGATGAAGAAAGAACAGAGCAAAACCAAACCTCAACACAGTTTTGCTTAGACCTTGCAAGGCAAAAGTTGGAAGTCTTACCTTTTCACCCGCAGGTCCTGCATAGCAGCTCTCGATGGGTTCGAGCTCTAGACCAGAAGGGATGACGCAGTACTTCCAGTTGGGAAGAACCATCGCCCGCGGCAGGTCCCATACAAGCGTTTCCAGACATTCAATGAAGGGGAACCATTTTGTCTGCAAGCCAAAACCATCAGAATGTTCATTGAAGGATTAGATGATCTGGATATACATGAGGAGTCCGAACAGACATCGGCATATTGAATTTCCTACAACCCAGACGAGCAGAGCACTGTCGACTTGCGTTCATTGAAATGGCAGAAACAATTCTCGGTCATGCTGCATTATGATCAAGCATGTCAGAGATTGTGATCAATCGATCACGGAAACGTTCGGAAGGAGTTCACTGGTTATTTGCAAGTTCAAATTCAATACTGGAGGAGGATAAGGAGGGCGTGACGGTTGCAAGCAAGACCTGTTCTTCGTAACCTCCACCCTCTAAAGTAGACATATTGGTGAGGGCTGTGAATTACGCATGAGTCTAATCACAGAAATCAGTTTTTTTTCCGAATTCCAGGAAGATGCGTACCGCATTGACGTAGTGATCGATGGCGCAAGCTTGGATAATGTTCAGTTCACATTCATCGGGCCCATGCTGCATCACGCGTTCGATATTCCCATCAGAACAATTACCCTTGATCCTCATTTCCATCTAAAACCTGACAGCTCCATTCTTATCAAAGACAACTTAAAATTTTTTAAACTTCATTTTTGCAAAATTCCGTTAGTGAGCGTTTTGTACTCAAGCCTTTGCAGCTGGCCGAATTCTCGAAGTACAGGCTCCCGAGTTTGTCCCGAATTCTGAACGAGGATTGTGCTTCCTACAATGTACATTTACATCCCCACATTCTCAACTTGCTTATACCTGGCAGACGATCGCGTCACCCTCATATATCCTCGCATTCCCGTACGGAATCATTCGAAGATCCACGATATCGATCATGCCGTTGGTGAAGAATTTGCTCAAGTAATTGACGACAAAATTCGCGCAGTATGGGCACAACGACTCCGAGTAGAATTCCACCAGCACCTTGCCATCCGAGCCAGCGTTGCTAACCCCACCTGCGGTATGCACGAAGCAAGACTTAGGGCAGTTGAAAGGCTACATCCAATCTGAGTTGGCACGGTCCAGATGGAGTACACGAGTCGGACACAATTTATACCTTGCAATGAGCTCCAACATCTGCAATTTTGTTTCAGCAACCAGTCAGGTCATGATAAAACTCAGAGACTGGTATTGAGACTATATGTAGGATCTCATTTACGGAAACACTCCGCGAACCAAGTTCGTGTAGTGGTGCGAGCTGCCGCGAATTTTGGAGTTCTTAGACACTCGGAACAGAGGACCTGCTAAGCAATCTCTTTCACTTCAGGTCGCGCTATTCAATACCAGGGCTAGAAACCATGACAATTCGTGAAGAACAAGAAGGCTGCTTAATCTAGGTCTGCGTGTCAGTGGTGGCAAGGGATGAAGGTACAAAGAAGCCGCGTGTTTGACCAAAGCTAGAATAATCACCGCCACTGACGAGAAGAATCAAGTGTCAGCAATGAAGGTCGAAAACATGCAGAGGAACAGGCTACCAAATGTGCATCTCCTTCGATCCAGTGACAATGTGCAAGGTTTGCCAGATGCAAGTTTTCAAATTCTTCCTGTGTGAAACCAAATAAGCAGATCTGGAAATCCTGTCATTCTCAAAGTCAGCGAGCTCGAAAACTCAAACTCTGTGGCTCAAAAGGTTGCTCGCAAAGTAATCGGAAAGAATTATCTGCACAAATCCAGAAGTCGGGCGCGTGAAAAACGAAACGTCAATTTTGCATCGAGGTGAAGGAGGAGGTGAAGCTGCACTGACCTAAGCACGCGATGACCAGACCCACAAGCAGCACGCGCAACGCCGACGACTTCTCCATCTTCGCGGAATTGACGAACTGATTCCTGCGCAGAGAGCGACGGGAAAGCCCTCCTACTTAAGGGACATCCTCACGGGCTCGAGCTCGGGAAGCCTCGACTCTGACGCTGCAAACAAACTTGCGAGGGTTGAGAAGAGGCCACGTGCATCTCGCGGACTGTGGCGACGTACAGCTCACCGGAAAACTATTTTCCCCTCATCCACATTAAAAACGAAATTTGCATACACCACGCTCACTCACAAAGCATCCGAGCAAATGCAAAATCATCGATGCATCTTCGAAATTCTGCGACGAATCGATGCTCTCTCTCCCTGTGTACATCTCTCGCCCCTTTGAGGACTCTTGATCCTGCCACTGTCCTCGTTCTAATCGACGTTCCCTCCCACGACTGCGTAAATCATAGCTACCACACAGCGACACCGTACATTCTCCTCGTCCCGCGACTCGGTTCCAGTAGTCGTCGCTGCATTATTTCATAACGGGCGATCGCGACCACGAATAAGACCGTTGGACTAACCGGGGTTAAGTTGCATAGGGCCTTTGGATGACAACGAGAATTGAGTGTGAAAGGAGCTCGAATGAGTGCGGTTCGATTTTGCGATGGTGCTCTGTGCTGTGCGATGGATGGATGGATGGATGATATGGCGTTTGCGAAACTCGTCAGTGCACTTCATGAATGAATGGGGTTGTGGATTCGGCACATGTCCTTAACCCGAGTCGAGTTCCCGGGGGTGTCTTGCAAACGTTTTGGGGTGTGATGCCGAGTGTTCGCACTTTCTGGACTGCTGTGTTTTGTCTGTCTGAGTGGAGAAGGAAGGCGGTGAGAGTGGGGGCTTTCGAGCCGTTTCCCGCTGCCGTCTGTGCACTCGAATCGGACGTCCTCGAATTTGAAAGAGGTCTGGAGAAATGTATCCATCTTATATGAGAAATTCTTCTACTTGGAAAGTGTTGCACAACGGATGATCATCGACATGATGTCACCGACCGACTGAGGTCACGAGGACGAAGCTTTTGAGACTAGAATTGTGCAGTGCGAGTCCGATTGAGTGGCCGGGCCGATCGAGTAGTCAATCTCCCATCGTGACGAACTCCAAAGTCATCTGTGGCAGACGGCGAAAACATCTGGTCAGATCGGTCGGTCGATCGATCGGCAGGAGTAAAGCAAACGAGATGGATTTCCATGATGGACGACCATTTTCCACCTTAAATCCAAGCAAGTGGACTGATCTGAACAGCGTTTTGACACAATCAGTTTCGGTCAGGCTTTTGTAACTGATCCGAGAAGGCTTTAGAAACTCATACCTGTTGAAAAACTTCACTGTGGCTTACGTCTTGGAATCCCTGTGAAGGAGACAAATACATGAATAGGTCAAACTCTGTGATCATATCTGCTCAGAGAGAGAGAGAGAGAGAGAGAGAGAGAGAGAGAGAGAGAGAGAGAGAGAGTGTTTCCAACTTAACACTTCAATTGTTGATTGGTCATACCAGGCTTCGAAAAAGTTGAAGAGAAGTGGAATTGGAATCCTCAATCTTTGCCCTGAACTTTGAAACATGCAGATGCTGAGACGCATATCTAATCATCAAACGAACAGCCTCCTTCGCCAGTCCTTTGCCACGACTGGAAACACCCACGAGAGTCAGTCAGTCAGATTTGCAGGCTCAACTCAATCGCACGCCAAAAGTTCCAGCTCTCAAGCTGGAACGTTCCGAACCGCCCTTCGATCAAAAGTCTGAATGTATACACAGCAAGGAACAATGCACTGAATATAGAAAGGAGCTAGCAGAAAGCAACTTCAGCTTTCCTGGCTCCTCTCGGTGGACGTGAGAATGGGCTCAATACTGTGGGGTGCTTCAAACCACGAGGGACTTTTGCCAACCTGCACAACTCGGCAATCATGATGTCGATTTCTGCAGTCTTCTCATCGTCCGGATCGTTGATGAAGATATTCACATCCCCGGCCATAGCTGCCATAGATGGCAAGTCACAAAATGAGAAAATCTCATTTGAGAGAGAGGGAATGTGACAATCTCTCTCTAGCATGAGCTACTCTTCTGGTTTTTGGCTCACCTTCAATATGCGGCGATTCTGGTTCCGAGACTTTCAAGCGCTCCTTGTCAAGAATTATGAACATGCATTCTGCACATTTCTTACCAATCTTCAGTCTTTCGAATCCGAGTCTCATGACCGAGCGAGTGCGAAAGCACGAGCAACGCTGGACTTACTGGAAGGATCGGAGTTCCACGACTCCTGCAATTCGTACTGCTCGTTCAGTGACAGCGGTTCCGAAGCGGTCGCCTCCAGCAGCTGCGGATCTTGCAGCCATTTGTGGTAGTACGGCACGTGCTCCTTCTCGTAAGGCACCAGCACCACTCGCTGCCCGTGAACTCTCTCCGCAGGCCTCACCATCGCCACGAAAAGGGAAGCCTTGTACGAAGATGCCAACTGCCTGGGATGTGGACTCGGAGCGCGGACGATGAGCAAGGGCTGCAACAGAAAATGGCCAGCGAGATTCTGTCAGAAACATACATCGTCAGTGGGCTCAAGCGTGATGATTTGAACTGCCCAAAGCCTAGTTATGAAATTTTCTCAAAATTCCGCTGTCATGTAAGTCCTCGGAAGTCCAAAGGATACGGTACAGCCGAACTATCATTAGGGTTCAACTGACAATCGCTCCCAAAGTCAAGATCATGCTCATAGCCACGATATTTCTCGCAGTTATGCCACCGAACTCTTCGTCCAGATCATTGTGTCTGAAAATTGTCAGCTGGACATGGCTTATTGCTTATTTCTGAGGGACAACATGCTCGGAAACCAATCCTGAGGGACAATATGCTCGGAAACCATTGCAGAAACCGATGTGAGCTTTGCATCTCATGCTCCATGAAGCGAGGGCAGTCTCTTGAGTTCGTGGAACTTGGAATTTTCAGCGCACGCACTTAGTTTTGTTCTGCAAACCAACTGCATGCACATGGGCTTTGTCGCTGCAATTGGTTCAATCTCTGTATTTAGCACACGGAATCCATCGACTCGAAGATACTCAAATTAGGTTTCATACATGGTTCAGTCCTCCGGGAGAGAGTCAAAAGGAGTCCCTACGAAAGTGGCTCGAGACAACTCAAGTGAATGAGTATTCTGGACATACAGGACGGCATGGACGGGAACTTGCAGTCCAAATCCAAATCAGATCTAAATAGAACCTTCAGTAAAAAGGTGGAATTCTTGCTAGGCCTGATCCAAATCCTCGACATATCCACATTCATTCAGAGTTCGCCATTTGAAACAAACCAGGATCACGTAGTCGACTTGTTCAAACTATTAGGGCACTTCTGTGCCGTCGAAATGTCACATGTGTCTTGAACATGCGATGCTTCCCGTAGCTAGGATTACAGCTAATATCGCCTCATTTAATGAAGGTCTACTTCGAGGCTGTACACGAGATGCCGAAGCTCGAACTCCGGGGCTTGCACCTTCTCCCTCTATCTTTCGTTTCACTGGTTGCAACCGACACTCGAAATTAGAAATGCTCGCAATTACAGGAACGTGCTGAACCGGATCCGGACGTAGGGAGCTAGTGTTGCGTGTTTCCTCGTCTAGCATGCCAAATTTCAACAGACTTAGAGAATGAGGCACCAGGATAAGCGTCAAAGTATTTGCAAGCTTCACGCACCAAACCACTCTGCTACCGCAAAACTCCGGCCTCGATGTGCAGTCGGAGCTCAGATCTTTGCGCAGATTCGTTTCCCTCGTGAAAGTATCGGCTTCGAAAGCCGTCTACAGAAGACGAAATTTCAGAATAAAAGTAACGACATGACATGTGCTCCGAAGATCGGAAGCAACTGTACAAATGATCAGATAACATAAAGTTTCTTCGTTCCCCTTAGACTCAAGGCCTGACAATTGTCAGCTTCCTTCTTCGTTTTAATAGGCCAATGAATGTCAGAAACGATGGGAAGACCCATTAAGACAACCAAGAAAGAAAAAGACACTAACACGAGAACCGTGGCTAGGTGATTTCATGGATAGTTTATAGAATGTTCCAGAGCAATAGAAACAAGAATCTAAATAAAATACACAACAATCTATAAAGCTATATAGAATTTACACATTGTGTACATATTACATTCTCATAGATATATATATGATGACACATTGTGGACTATATTGTGTGCATATTATAAGGTATTACACTCTCATTCATAGATATATATATATATATATATATATATATATAATGAAAAATGTATGATAATCAACAAACAATCCTAATTTAAACATTTATTCTCGTATTGTTATATCTTTGATTACTAGCCAATATAGGTTAGGAAATCAATGGGATGGAGGATTTCACTAGATGTGGACACTCTTTGAACTTGGTATTTCAATAGATTTTGCTTCTTACCATTCTTGCTATGAAGTACTTCTAGTACTTGACCAACTTTAGAATGAAACTTTTCAACTTCAGATCTATCCAGTCTCCCTACAAGATATAACCTAGTATATAAATAATAAATTATGTATGTAATGGGTGATATATCAGAAAAAATTGATCTTAATACAAAAATCCCAATTATGACATTGTATTTATCCATTCACTCCACACTCTTGAGATCGAGTAAAGTTTTGTGCATGTAAACTCAACCTCCACATTCTTCTTGAAGCTTTTGTTTCTTCTTTTTATACCCCACATGGCTTGTCTTATTGTAGCTTGCGATCCTCTTTTTGTCTCAATGATTAACATGAAAATCTTCTCTCAAGCTATCCATATCAAGTGCTCAACATTCTTCTTGAAGTTTTTGTTTCTTCTTTTTATTTTCCACATGGGTATTGGCTTGTCTTCTTGTAGTTTGCATTCTCCATATATGTTTCAATGATTAACATGAAAATGTTTTCTCAATCTATCTATATCAAGTGCTGAACAAAGAACATCTTATCAATCGTCATTGTAATAATTCACTATATTAACCATGGTTGATGATGAAGGTGTTGATGATCATCTATTGAGCTAAGCTAGCGCTGAGAATACTTTGTCCATAGAAAAAACATATAATAGAAAATGTAAGCTTGTACTTGCAATTTTTTTGTCTTCCTTTCTCCTTCTATTTGACGGTATCCCTCGCAGTCCGCTGTTGGGCACAATAAGGCATTGATCTAACCAAACAGCTCATGACATATCAAGATCGTGTTGATGATCATCTTTTATCGACAATGGATACTTTGATGATCACAATTTGTCTAATTCATTACATCACATTTGAAATCTACCGATTGTGATACACTACTAATGACAAGATGTATACTTTGATTATCACAACTTGTTTGATTCATTACATCTTATTTAATACCAACGTAACCAATAGATCCCAAATAAGATGTAATGAATCAAACATCTTATTTGGGATGTATTGGTTCTGTTGGTATTAAATGAGATGCATTTTAATGCAAAGAGTTGAACCTTACTTACAGTTTAGTTTTTGTTGTTTGTTATAAGAGGATTGTTATACGTTCTCCTCAAACACTTTAGATTTACTCTATCATAATCACTTTTTTGTTGTTTTTCTAAACCTAGCGTGGCAATAACAAACCAAGTACTGTGTGTTAGAGTATCGATGTATGTTGGTGTTTTTATGTTTGAGCTTGTGCTTGTGTGAAAGATATGTGACAATTTGTAACAAAATTTGTGTTGCTTGTTCATGTTCTTGAATTGGATTTGCTAGTATTTGATTTTGTGTCTCCTTCTTATTCTCACTATACTATTGTTGTGAATGATGTATGCTTGTGAAATTTTTTGGTTGAAGCTATCGCGTCAAGAGGAAAAAAGAGTGTTTGAGGAGAGATGTTGGGCAACGGTGAAAATCAATCACCGCTATCTAGCCAAGCCATGTCGACCAACATGAAGAACTGCACATTATGAATACAAGAGGGAGGAAGAAAGAGAAAGAGGGAGGAAGAGATAGTTCATAAATTAGTCTTCTTTTTGGTGAAATGTATGTTGGCATTGATGACATCGGCATGATTTGATTCATGCTTCGCTATTAACAATGGAACTTTGACTTTTTTGTTCCATTAGCAAAAAAAGTCAAAATCAAATATTTGAATCAACAACTTGACCAGGATAAACGTCAAAGTAACATGATCATAATCCATCTATCAAGTGAAGCACTAATGCATCAAGAACAACAATGAATGACATACTCCAACAAGAATGAAATGATGTTTGACATATGATTATTCTTTTTTTTTCAAAAGTTTGTGCAAGCGGAACAATATTTCCAGATAATAGCATGAGAAGAATTAGCCATTTTGTTGACAAAAAAATACTGTAAGCATTATTTGTATGATTAAAAGTTTGTGGTGGAAAACTATCATAGATTATTATTTTATTTGGAAATTCAAAATAATTTGTCTAAAACTATATTTGATGATTAGAATGAGTTTGACGTTACAACATGAAATTTTTGTATGTGGAGAGTAAGCAATAATTTGCAAATGGTATGACAGCCATGCAATGTTTTAATCATGATACAAATTTCTCAATGTGGAAAGCAAGCAACAATATGCAAATGCTATCATAGGCATGTGATGTTTTGATCATGATACAAATTTGTATATGTGGAGAGCAAGCAAGAATTTGCAAATGCTACCAAAGTCATGCAATGTTTTAATCATGATACCAAAGTGAAATTTTAAGTTGATGTATAAGCAAGATGAGATTTTACATTAATTACAAATCTTGATACTTCTCTCACTTCTCATTGCAAAATAAAAGCATTACAAGCATTGCAAGTTTCGAGAGTTGTAATTGATGTAAAATCTCAATGAAAATTTTATTACATTTTTTCAACATTTGCATGTAGTTCACATCATGGAAGACATATCACAATAATAAAGTAATAAAAGATTGCAAAAAAATATAATTCAATTTCAAGAAATGTATCTTAGTTTAATTTGCAAAAGTTATCAAAAAAATTTTAAAAGTCAAAGTTGAAGTTTTACGCAATACACAATGATTGAAATTCATAAATAACTCAATAATGTCAGTTTTCTAGTTAGTTATAAAGTTGCTAATTGCACAATAGAGATTAAGTCATATAATTCTTTCAATACCAATTCACAAAATAAACAAGTGTATGAATTCTGCTTTTCGTACTTCATGTAGTCTTCTTGGGCATTTTTCGTCCAACTAAATGGTTTTTTTTTCAAACATTGGATTTCTAGACATTTATGCACCTAAATTTTTTTTCTTATTAATCTGTTGGTCTATAATGAGAATTATATATATAATGCATGAAGAATCAAGGGCAATAGTTAAATACATGGTTCAATTCTTCATGAATGTAGTAACACAGGAATGAAAATATTTGGTTGAAAATATTCTGATTTGTATAATAGAGAATTTTAATCAAATATTTATATCAAGAGATTGTTAATATAATCCAATAAACCATAGTATAGTTAATTCGCTACTTCATTAATCATGTCACTTTTTGTGTTTGAAATTTCAATGAAAACATATAGTTTGTCACTAAATTACATATATCTTGTGTTTGCTAACATTATTGAACTAATATTCAAGTTGACGATATGATAGTATAAAAAAATTCAAATGCTTTCTTACTAGAATAAAATTTTGATAACATGAATTTGACAAAAAAACTATATGACCAAGAGACTGCATATCTATATCAAATAAATTTAAAGGAATTTGTAATTTTTTAGCCTTAGTATATCTGATTAGGAAAGGAATTAATAGAGCAGAATTCGTATATTGTTTGATATATGTGTTTTTGAAAATCTATGAAGTAGACAACTCACACATTGAAATCAACTCATGTTTTGCATTATTTATATAGCATTTATTTTATTTGGAGGCTCTCAAAAAATTTATAGTTTTGAATAAATAAAAAAATTAAATGAATATCTCCATCTTTATTAATCCAACGCTCTAACACCTACTAAGTACAGTATAATATTGACTTGTGGGAAACTCAAAGAGACGTCCGTTAGACACGAAGTTGAAATCTTGTGAGTTCCGGTCTCATTCTTTCCATAAAGAAACAAATAAATAAATAAAGAACCTATATAAATTCAAATATAGATACAGGAAGTGACTTTTGTTCTATACAAAATGAACAAAACTTTCCAAAGGAGCACGAAAACCAACCCAACTTGCCATACTTAAAGTTGTAGAACACACTGTGAGAAGAATTGACTCCAATGAAAAGCTAATCCCAACATGATCTCAGATTCTTTGCTTCCGGTAATATATATTACTAATTATCAGAATGTATAAGTGAAGAGATTTGGAGAAAATATCAATGCTCGGTCGCACGATACGATCACGGAACGCTGGTGTTGCTAGGTCCAGCACCACAAGGCACGAAATCGTCGAAGCAAGATACCGTATATGTTCCAGGAAAGCTTTGTTATATTCTGCACGCTCATATCTCGAAACTTGCAAAACAGAAATGGACTTTAAAATCACAATGGCTTCACAGGTCTTCGACGGACGAGAAGTTATCAACGAGACGGGAAAGTGTAGCCGACTCTCATGCGTCTGATATTTTTGATTGCTCGGCTTTGTGGCAGAAAGCAGTGAAAGAGATAGTCAACCCACGTGGATTTAAGCTTATACCTGTTGTCTCCGCAAAGAGTCAACAATAATTTTCATTAATCTTGTACTGAAGCTCCTTATCTTCCTGTCTCTAATTCTCATTTCTGAGTGACTTGTTCCCATTCAGATGTAAGTGGATTCATCCTGAGCTCAAATAGCCTCTGCAAGATTCGAAGTGGACGTTAATAGTTTGCTCGAGATATTTCAGGGGTGGGGGAATCCACGACCTAAGCTACAGTATGATGAGAACTTTGGACTTGATGGCAAGCTGTTCCGTAAGTTTCAGTTTCTTGCCAAACGAGATTATAAAGCACATTGTCTTGGACTTCACTTGAGCCTTTCAAGACGAAGAGCAATCGACTCATTGCATACTTTAATCTTTCATAATCCAACCTCTCAGGCATGTCTGCTAACCTTGACACTGAAACGACAAAACATACAACTAGCAATTTTGTATCTGCTATATTTCGAAAACTGTTGAATCTTTCTAGCATACGCTTGTTACGGGGATCTGATTCATCAGAAATGAAAAGAAAGTGAGCTCTGGAATTACGCTCGGAAACGGTAAACTCTCTCCAGTTTCTGTCAGGCTACTGTTCGCTGCAGTCCGACATCACATTTTCATCGTAAAGATAACACAAACGAATGCCACAGGCTTGTACCTGCAAATATGTACAAGTAAGTCCGCACGACTCGGGAAGATCAGTACTGCTTCAGGAATGGGTGCGGGAACTTACCTGGTCTAACATATTGATAATCTCAAGGCAGAAGTCTTGTTAATTCTGGATCGGTGAGCTCCCAAATGAACAGACATGCAATGTTCGCAACGTAGATCATAATTCGTAGCTCTTCGAAAGATTCCTCTGTTGTCATGGATCACGGTTGCTTAAGATCAGAGAATTTGGCACACAGACAGGAACGATCGGCACAGCAAAATGGCTGAGTAGCTTGAACATGACGAGCTGGGTAAGTAAACTGGAATGGTTCCGTCCAAATCGTTGTAAGCGAACACTTCATCATTCATGCAGGCAGGAGTCTTAGGCCAGGCTGGGTGACCGATTGGGTCCATCTGCTCCTGATATGAAGCTTCAATCTGCACTGCATTCTGGGTTGGGATCTCTTTGAGACCAAACCATCCGGAATCCACTTGTGTTTAGAACATCACGTATGCCACCGAAGCTACAACTGTAATTCATGTGAGACCGAGCCTACAGTTTCGAGACTCCAAAAGGATGTCAGCCAATGAGAACGGTTCCACCCATCGAGGCAAATAAATGCATTCGACAATATTTGACGTAAATTCTTCTTTGTCCTCGTGAGCTCTTCCTATTTTAAGAAAATTTATCTTTAAACACCATATCAGAGTGAGAATCTGACGAGACATTCCAACAAAATTAGTATTACGGATGGTTGATGATCACGAGCCGGAGCGTCGATGTCCTTGCTAAGGTTTGTAAATGGCTTGAAGCACGTGGAAGTGCGAGATCACGCCGACATTACACAAGGCTTCCAAGTCAACGGGAATTGTAAACCACCTGCAGCAGCAGGAGGAGGGGAGACTCTCTTCATGGTCCTCGCTGGATCATAAAAGCCTTGCATCGTCGAACACTCACAAATGCACCTGATCCAGCAGTGATCGTTGCCAATTCGGACCTACAGCCGTCATCGACAAAATCTGACACCTCCTTCATTTATGGCCTTGTTTCTAGTGCAAGATATTCGCCACACCAAAGTCGTCGTCCGTTGAATCTTTGGGGTCGATTCCAGCTCGTTTCTCTCCCCGAGGATGCGCGGAGCACCATACCTCCGAATTTCTGGTGCCAATATTGAGATTGCACATTGGGAGGTAACCATGACTGCCCCCCCTTGCCCCATGGCCGCGGCTGCGCCGACCATGGACGATCCTCCCCCAGAGCAATTTATGCTCCATAAGCCCGATGGCAGCATACCGTCAGTTCACAATGACAATTTCCCTCCACTCACTCCAGCAAATCCATCCTGGTCCTCAGATTGCGGCTCCCGTCGAGTCCTTGGGTCTCACGGATCACTTATTCCACCTGGGGTTCCCGCTCGTGCCTCTCCAGCTCTCATTGGTCATGGTTCTGGCTCGGACCCAAGCTCATCCCGTGCGAGAAGTCTCCGTCCTCCGTGCGATCAGCTTCCTGTCGCGTTCGTCCAACATTCCCGAGGAATTGTAGAGCTGCAAAGCACCTCTGCCGGCAGATAAGAGCGCCACCAAACGCATCGATAGAAATGGCGTCGAGGAAGCGAATGAGTCTGGTGTTGGACGTGGTGACGTGCTGTGTGCTGGTCATCGGATTCATCAGTCGTGCGGCGGCCACGCACATCGAAGGTGAGTACCTGGAGCGGCACAACGAAGCTCGGTCTCGTGTGGGAATCAGCGACCTGGAGTGGAGCAATTCCCTCGAAAGCTACGCGACGGACTACGCCGAGCGACAAGCCTCATACGGATGCTCCATGGTCCACTCGAATGGCCCTTACGGAGAGAATCTGTACTGGTCCAGCGGGTACAGCAGCCCTTCTGACGCCGTCGACTCGTGGCTCGAAGAAGGCCGAGACTACAATTCCAACTTCAATTCCTGCTCTTTTGGCAGAGTCTGCGGCCACTACACTCAGGTAACGAACGACACACCTCGACATTCTTCCCCGTTGTGCTCGTCATCTGTGGGGTGCACCTCTGCACCTGTTGAGCATCCACAATTTCTGCTTTGGTTTCTGCTCTTTTTTCTCATGTTGGAGGTCGGCCGAATTCCGATACTGATCTCTTCAAGTACGTCCTTGATGTCGCAGATTATTTGGAGAAATACTCGATACATGGGATGTGGCTCGGCTACCTGTCCAACTGGTGGAAAATTTGTAGTTTGCAGCTACTATCCTCCCGGAAACTACTACGGGGAAAACCCATAAGATTGGGCTGTGTGTACTAGAGGAACACAGTAGTTTGTTCTCCATGACGGCTTCCGTGTTCGAATCGTCGATTTTCATTTCGTAGGCACCAAACCGATAGGTCTCCACTCTCATAGGAAAAGGAAAAGGGTGCTTTTTGGTGGTGTGTACCTTCCTCAGTAGGGCTGGCGTAGACAGGACTTGGATTTGGAGTTTCAGATTTGGTGTTTCCAGTGGTATTTAATAAAGTCATTAAATGAGTTTCACAACTGGCAATTCATTTGCTCTTTCTCATGGATGGCAAGTCCGTCGAGTGAATTCGTACTGTGGATTCTGAATTATCCGAACAACGAGGAGCTTCAGTCCCTTCAGAGACCTCCATTTCCTACATGAATCTTGTATAACACATACTGCTGTGGCAACCTATTCCATTACCTGCACAAAATAGGTGCAGACTGTGCTACAAAAAGGAAGTGAACGACTAAGTACCAGTAGAGCAAGGTTACACTCATTTCGCATGCTGAGAATGTGTTGAAGGTATCCACTCATATTACAAGCCTGTACGACCTCTTGGTATTTGAATATGCAATTTCTTCAGAGTAGCTCTGATCTTGTTTAGTCTCACCTGCTTGAACTTTTCCTGCTTAATCCAGTTCAGCTCTACATATGACTTTTCATAATTTGAAACCGTTTGTGCAGGTTATGCCACATGCTAAAGGCCTTAAGAAGTACATGCATTGGAAACTTAAGCCGCTCGCTGTGCTTCCAAATTAATGACATATTCCATAGTGTGAAGCTATTGGAGCCTAATCCTATGGCTTGAAAGGGAAAATATAAAGAATTTCTTCTCTCTACAATAGAATGGATTCTAACTTCATTATTCTACAATATTTGATTTTCGTGATTGGATTGTAATTACACAATTTTTATATATATAATTCGGATGAAAATTACATGTCTGGTTTGCTATGTACAATAGTGTTCAATAGCCATCATTGCGATATAAGCTAATTTTAACTTAAAAAGAGGTGGAAGAGGTCCCTCCTCTTTTGATCATAAAATACCATAATAAATATTTTAAATGTAAATTAATTGCATATATATATATATATATATATATATCAATCATCGAGCTTTTAGTATATACAACCTCCATCTAGTCTTCAAGGAAGCGTGACAAGATACAAATCCAAATTTGTTCTAACTCTGTGTACATGTCCTAAATGGGTATGATTGATCACGAGTGACACAAGCAAACTCCAATGCTTGATAACACATATGCACACACATGTGAAGGTGATACGTAATCGAGACTTGCTATTTACTCCAATAGGTCATAGGATATATGGCCTCGACGTGTTTTCCTCGCAATAGCTTTTATTTGTTAAAAATATACTCCAATAATTTGGAGGGAAAAATGGCTCCATCTGGATTAATGTCTCTATTAACTATTATATACAACACAGACCTAACCCACATACAAGCTCTTTGATAATATAAGGTAGGAGACCCTGTAAACAAGCCTCCAAATTCTTTGAAGATATATCCACAATTCATGTGGGGAATAGAGTTTTCGAAAAACACATACTCGAGAGGGATCGGGTAACAGCAACCAGCGAGTGTGACGATCCCAGACTCCCATCCGCAATAACAATCTTCGGCAGTTATTGTACTGGAATAAGATTTCCAAGTACCTACCAACCTTGAGACCCGAATTGCCTGAGCTATTAATGAAGCGAGTGAGCTGTTGTGATTCACTTTTTCTCCAGCTTGAATCTGCCATTGTGACCTGCCACCTGTGACCTGCATCGTGCTAGTCGAAAGCACTTACAGTCAAAACTTGGTTTCGACTAAAACGCAAAAGTTAGACGATTACATTTGTTAAGAGCGATTCTGCACAAGTCCTTGTGTCTCTTCTGAAATGGTGGAGGTCGCCTAAGCGGAAGACAATGGCAGATTCAAGCTGTGTTGTTACAATGGCAAATTCAAGCAGATCACTATCATCACTATTATAAGAGAACTAGGATTACCACTTGCCTCTGAAGTGGCATAACCTCATGATACCTTATAACTTTGTGTTGACTCTTGGAAATCCTAGTTCGCTTATGAGAGTGATGATAGTGATGTGCAGATCTCACAGATCCAACGCAACTGTTAGAGTTTCAGACAACCTGTCTAAACACCCGTCGTCATGACATGACAGTCATTTTATTGAAACCGCGAATATCTACATTTGGCTAAGTTTATGCCTCACTCACAACAGCCAAAATCCACTTTATAAGAACTAAGTCATGCTATCTCATCAGTCACATCAACAGTAACAACCGTAGGGTTGTCACGGTTGCTTTTCACACCACAAAGCTTCTGGATCTGCTTCATGATGGACTCTTCCAGCTCTCTAGAATATAGTAACTTATGTGGTCAGAAACATTCGTAAACTTCTCTTCATCTTCATATTAATTCAATTTTTGAATTAATATATGCACAATTTGTACACTTACAAGAGCAATGTGCACCAGTCCCCCTCGATCTAGATGTGCCGCAAATTCTCTACAGTCAATTGCGAGGGGCTAAACATCAGTATATCAAACTATCTAGGATTTCCACTTGCATCTGAAGTGGTAAAAAACAAAAGATAACGAGAGCATTTTTTTACATTGTTCACTACACACCACAAATCTTAACCAAATCTCTCAAAATCTCTCAACCACAAGAAAGGAGCTAGAACTCCAAGGGTAACAAAATCTCAAAATAAAACCAGAGAATTGAGCACACACAGAACAATTTTCAACAAGTTTTATTTTGAGCTTTTGTTACCATAGTGGAGCTTGGAGTTCTGGCTCCTTTCTTGTGGTTGACATTTGGTTAAGAAATGTGATGTGTATTCAACAATGTAAAAAAACTCTCTCGTCATCTTGAGTTTTTTGCCACTTCAGATGCAAGTGGAAATCCTAGATAGTTTGATATACTGATGTTTAGCCCCCTCGCGATTGACTGTAGAGAATTTGCGACATATCTAGATTGAGGGGGACTGGTGCACATTGCTCTTGTAAATGTACAAATTGTGCATATGTTAATTCAAAAATTGAATTAATATGAAGATGAAGAGAAGTTTACGAATTATTCTAGAGTGCTAGAAGAGTCCGTCACGAAGCAGTTCCAGAAGCTTTGTGGTGTCAAAAGCAACCGTGACAACCCTATGGTTGTACTGTTGATGTGACTGATGAGATTGAGTCATTTTATTGAAACTGCCAATATCTACATCTGGCTAAGTTCATGCCTCACTCACAACAGCCAAAATCCACTTAGTTCTTCTAAAGTGAATTTTGGCTCTTGTGAATGAGGCATGAACTTAGCCAGACGTAGATATTCGCGGTCTGAATAAGATGACTCTCATTGATTCCACAAGCTCAGTGCACCAGCTAGCAGGAGTGACAGTGTAATGTTTGTATATTATGTAGTCCTCCTATTGCGACCAGCGAGAAGATCGAAGGCTCTGGAAGCTCTCCCGGCACTCAGAATCTCGAGCTGGACATGGTTGGAGAACCTTGGCCATGTGAATTGCACATGCGTATACACCACATCCTGTCTTCACCTAGGTAGGTACGAACGAAGGCCGGAGTCTTACCTGGTTGATGCAAGAAGCGGAGATCTCAAGGCTCATCCGCGCACACTGAGCTGCACCCTCTTATACCTGCGAACAAAGGCCCGAGTCTTAGCTGGTTGATGCAAGAAGCTGAGATCTCAATGCTCATCCGTGCGCACCGAGCTGCACCCTCTTATAACTGTGAACGAAGGCCGCCTCGACCCAAGCTTCTTTCAAACTTACAGAGACGGTGTAACAAACACATTTCTCGACCTCAGCGCACTGGCCATGCATTTGAAACCAGTCCATTGCTGTTGCGCTCGTTAACGGTCTCCCACCGAGTCTGCACCTTCAAAGTTTGTGAACAATTTTCTCTTCAAGTCATCGAGGTACTCTGCTCCGAGTCTTCTGTAAGAGTAGTGACCATGGTGCATGGTACTAGATGAGTTTCGATTTGAGCATAGTTGAGAATCACGTCTGCACTCAGGTTTTCCTCCAGATTCATCATAGCTCGATGGTGGGTCTCGTTGTAAGCGATCTCAGCAGAGCTCTGCAGTCCAAGTAGCGAAGCAGCCATTTTGTTCATCTGCTAGTGGAGCAATACGAAGATATTTACTACTTACAGCATAGATGTGAGTCTTGAGCTCGATTGCAATCGATGCGAGTGGATCTTGGCAAGCATTTATCAGACATGTCTGTACCGAACCTTCACAATCTTGAGTGAGAAACTACTTTCGATGACTGACGGATTCCAGTTTGGAATCTGTCGGAACTGGGTGGCCTCACCACTTTTGAGACAAGTGGCATGTCTGGGAAGTAGAACCATTCACACATACAGTTTTCTTCTATCTACGGAAGAAAATGTAGGCGGTGTATCCACTAGTGGCACAACCAGTATTCACTATCTCGCATCATTTCAACATACTGATTTTGAATTAATCCAGTTCGTATACAAGTATTTGTTCTCTTCAATGTCAGTAAGGCCAATTCTGCTAGGAGTACGAAACGAACGTAGTGCAAATATCTAGGCCTGAAGAGCACAGCAGAAGCACTGCTGTGCTTCTCATGTTCATTACTTTGGTGCATGTTCCATCAGAGATAAGCTAAGATCGAGGTACAGTCCACCCGGTGAATGTTGGAATCGCTTATTTGTGATCAGTTAGACTGTTCAAATTAGTAAGAATCCTTGTACATATAGTGTAGTCTACAACGGTCATCCATAACGGTAGTGTAATGGATAATTGAGAAGGTGCGTCCACTCCTTTGGACACTTATGCATTTGTCAAATCTTTTGTAATATTAGCACTCTAACAGTATGTTCAGTATCTAACTTGTTCTAACACACTCCCTTACTCTAGAGTGCATAACGTAGGATCTAAAAACTACTTCTCTACATCTAAATCTTCATCATCTACTTTAGTCAAAAGGTAGCCTTGCTAGACTTCGTAGACCAAGATAATGCTGAGTAAACTTCGGCCTAGGAAGAGACTTGGTCAGCATATATGCTTGCTGTAATTTTGTGGAGAAGAATCGGACCTCGATCTTCTTCAAAGCTACCGTTCCTGATGAAATGATGCTGGATACCAATGTGCTCATTTCTTGCATGAAAGACTAGATTTTTGACAAGTTTTATAGCACTCTTGTTGTCACAGTGAACTATTGTAGAGTAAATCAATGAATTGGGAATAGGAAGAGCAAAAATGATCTTAATGTCTTTGTAGGAGAGAGGTGTTATTGTGACTGAATCAATTACTATTTCGTAAAACCCAGCTTTGATCGAAGTAGCCACACACGCGATTGGTTGTAGACCGGAGGAACACTGTCAATTCACGGTCCTGAAGACAATATTCTCATGAAACCCGACCAGGAAGCAGGCATTTTTGCACTTCATGGCTCGTTTCCATCCAAGGGCGAGGGTAATTTCGACGACAATATCTCCGACCTTGGTAGGATTGACTCCAGACCGCTCGAAGAAGGCCAAGTAATGCATTACAAGCGGACCCATACAAGTCCAGAGCTTCACGCTCCGCCCATCCTTGATGAAGACATACACGACGCCGCCTCCAGTCTCCTATCCGGTCGAAAGAAGAGCTATCTTTGAAAGTTCTGTCAAAATTCAACCGAACCGCGCCATCGGTGGCACCCTGTTGCAATCTGTGATACTAGGAAGAAGAGAGTGCATCGTCAAACCATCGATGCTCTTTCTGCCTACCAAGTGGCTTTCGATATTTTTGGAAACGAGTATCAACTGTTTCTTTCAATTAAAGAGGTCGTCTCCCCTTAGTCAGAGCTTCGAGTTCTCTTGATGTTGCCTGTAGTGGTGCTCCTGCTGCCGTCCCGTAGCGATGCCTGCACAACCAGTTAATGCTGATGCGCATAATGAGGCCACTACAGACAGCGTTCCGAATGCCATGGATACCTCTGATGGAGAGCTTTGCTAAAGGACTCCCCCATTATCTCGTGAACCTTCACCAGCCCCACAAGTGCGACCATGTCATGTTGTTCGACCCGTTAGGGAATCTCCAGAGCCGACTGCAGCAGCGGAAGATGCAGCACAGTAGTCGGAAAGGTCAACGTATGCTACGATTTTTCCACTGCGCTCATGCACGCCGGAGTGCATCTTCAAACCATCGTCCCCGTTGTGATACTAATCGTTCTGAGGTGACTAGGAAGAAGAGGGTGCATCGTCAACTCTGAAACTATTTCTTCTGTGGTCACTATGAAGAGGGGTAGCTCTCATACTAATTGTTAAATGAGACAAGAGAATCTACATGCCATATAAAAGAAAAATGAAGTTTTATGTCGCATTCGGGATGAGTTCAATTAATAAAGAGTAGTAATAACTGGTCACTTCGTATATAATTGATATTTAAAATTTTATGATTTATTTTAGTTACAATCGTTATCATTAGTTTTAACTTCAATTCAAAATAGAGTAATTTGAATTTATATAAGTTTCGAATTATCTCCCCACAAATAAATTGAAATTTCTTATGAATGATTATTATCAATTACAATTTTCTGAAAAAAAATTAAAACATAATTTAATTCAATTATAACATAATTTATTTGTATATTTTCATCATATATACATCAAAATATATAGAAAGAAATTTGAATAATCCATAAAAACTTAATCATATATCTTGATAAAATCGATTTAATCAATTATATTGTACATCTGAAATATTCTTTTTAGAATTGAATTGTTATGATTTATTATATTTGTAGTGTAAAGTACTAAAATATACTCAATTATTATAACATTTTTCAACTTTTAATATTAATATTCATAATTACTCAACTTCGTTACTTATAAACAACTTACAAATATAAACGTAGAAATGAAACCTCAACTATGTAATTCCACAAGATTCACCTTCTTTCTCAGCACTAGTAGCATGCTTTTGTATCGGGAGATTTGTCCAGATTTGATGACAAGTGATCTTGTACTCCCTGTTGCGAAATAATTCACTCAAGATACAACGTAATTTCAATGTGGAACGAATTCCTGCTATGCGATACCACTAATCTACACAGTTTTCCTTGAAGTCAGTAAACCAAGCTATATTCAAACACAGTTCCTTACATCATACTGAATATAGAACATGACTTTAACTGGCAATGACAGAGGAAGGATATTATCTGTTTTTGAAGTTATGTCTCTTCGAACCAATCTATTCGAAGAGTCTGAGTATCTGATTCTTGAAGCATCCCAGCATGCAGATTTCGTCACTTCACCTCCAGATAAACTGATCAATGACTACACAAAGAACTCGGAGCTATTGAGTTGTTGGGAGCATGTGTTGAAGGAAGAACGAACTTCGATTGTAACTTATGACATTGATTTCTTTAGCAGATCTGAATCCATGAACAAAAATATCGTCAACTCACTTTTCTCTCCTGCTTTTGGTTTGTTGACAAGTAGCATCTCATCAGCACATCCCTTCTACCACGTTCTATAATCAAATGTCAAGTTGAGTGTAGCCAGAAAACAATTTTCGGAAGCACAAGTATTCCAAACATTAAACTTGCTTGTTGGCTTTCGGCAATTGCTGTACGTTCCGTATATAAAACATTCTGTTACATGAAATTGAGCAAGATTGGATATGCATGGTGTATATTAAATTACTTCAAGCAGTGTAATCGTCCACTAACCTTCCACGATCAATAAAGTTCCTCAATGAGGTTCCCTAATCAGAGTGAAGGAGCTGCAGCAGCGAACTGCGAGGTGGAGAGGGGTGTCGGAGACGCAGGTCGCCTCTAGAATCGGAACCGTTCCGATTTCTTCCAGGTCCACCAGGTGTGCAATGTCAGATTCGTCCATGGCGACCGCACTAGACTGACTCTCGATTTCAGGATGGCGTTCACGTCCACTTCTAGGTCAGACATCAGGACGTCGAATGTCTCCGTGGATTCCGCTCTGATGGCGCAGTGCAGAGGGGTCATTCCGCTGCCATCGGCTGTGAGGATGTTCACATTTGCCTTCGCGCAGTTGGAGAGGAGGTGCAGTACCTCTCCGTTGTCTTTGTGGCAACCAGGTGAAAAATCGTGTGTCCTGCCTGAGCCTTAGTACTTCAGATAGCGGTAAATGTCATCTCGTATCATTGACTCTGCATCCAACCTCTGCCTCCCCACGCTGCACATTCTTTCCATATTCCCTGTAATAAGTTTCCGTCACTTCTTTTTTTTCCTCTGTCACCCGGTACTTATTCCAATTCTCCAGCTCGGAAGTGGCAGATTCTTTTTTCGACGAAAGACAGAGACTTTCTGTAAAACGTCGTCGCTCAAGAACAATTTAATAGGACACGATTGCAGTTAGGGCGGATCGTCGATGAGACTTACGTCATAATCAACTGCGCGGTTGATTTGATCAGGGCACGCATCAATTAATGCCATGACCATCACCAATTTACAAATTTCCCGAGGATTCATTACTTCCATAAGCAAAGGAGTGAGATCTTAAACAGAGTCTTCTGGGCAAATGTCCATACCGTGAAATTTAATCAGTTCCTCGAAGACCCTCTGGTGCTCTCCTCCTACTGCATAGAGCCAAGCTGTTCTGCCCAGTACTTTATCTAGGGCATTAACATCAACAGGATTTATTCCATACCTGTGAAGCAAGGATGTGACGATGGTTTCATGGCCTCCATAAGCCGCGAAATGAAAGGCCGTGATGCCCCGGGATGTGGCCACTTCCACCTTCAATTTACCGACTAGAAGTTACCGTTCAGTTTTCAGCCCCATGGCAGCTGCGTGATGCAGTTCAGTGAAGCCTCCTACTGTGGTCGCATTCTCACCTGCACTATTCTGAAGCGGACTCATAGTTTCTCGCCAGAAACAGGTCAGTGTTGTCCAAGCTTCGTTGCTCCGGCTGCGATCCCTCGATTAACAGATGTGTGGAGCCTTCCTTCGAAGGCTCTATTCCTTGTACCATTTTGTCTGAAATTTGCTTCTGCAGATGCGCAGACCAACAAGTATTCTGACCTGCGTCCGAGGTCAACCCAACTTAAGTCATGGGAAGGAAACATCAGGTGATTCTAATTTTCTAGACCCCTCGAGAAATGGCCGCATATGGATCCGACTGGCGGCAAACTTCCATATTAAGCATCTACCGAAGCTACTTATTGCCACACACGATACATAACGAGGAATAGAAAACAGTCAGATCCAAATCAGAGCAGTAGACTCCAATTAGTGATTTGAATAAAGCCCAAAACGCACGTACCCAAAAGCTTGGAGAGTCGAAAGCTTTCCGGGAGAACTCGTAGGAGTACCACCATATGAATTGCGAGGATTGTGACAATTTCCTCGCAATCCACCTCGTTACTTATAGTGCTTTCTGTCTTGAGAAGTACTTTGAGTTCTCGTCATTACCCATGCAATGAGCTACTCAAGAAATTTTCGGAGTACGTCCTTTACGATGTCCCCCGAAAACTTATTCATGCGCATTTGCCCAGAAGACTCTCTTCAAAACTTCACTCCTTTGCTCATGGAGTTAATGAAACCCAGGGGAATTTGTAAATTGGTCATGATTAGGACATTAATTGATGCGTGCCCTGATGAAATCAGCGTGATCCTGACGTAAAGCTCATCGAGGATCTGCCCTGGCTGCAATCGTGCCCTATAAAATTGTTCCTAAGCGACGATGTTTTACAAGAAGTCTACGTCGTTTGTCCGAAACAAGAGTCTACGACTTTCGAGCAGGAGAATCGGGATAAATACCGGGTGACAGAGGAAAAAAGAAGAAGGACTGACATAAGCTTATTACAGGGAATGTGGGAAAGAATGTACATCGTGGAGAGTCAGAGGTTGGATGCAAAGTCAATGATACGAGAGTACATTGACCGCTACCTGAAGTGCTAAGTCTCGATGGCAGGTCACACGATTTTTCGGAAACTTATTATCTTATACTAAGTGAGTTCGGTTAGGGTTTTAGGCACAGGTTTTGCATTCTATTTATTTTTCTGTTTTAGAGTTCTGATTATTTCTCTTTAGATGTTACATAGCTTTCCAACAACCAACTAGGACGCTCTAGTCCATAGTTGACAAAATGTACATGGTCTACAAGCCGAGTATGTACTTTACTTGTGTACTAAACAATTGAAGTTTAATTATTTTAAAATATTGTATTCTATATAAATATAATTCAAGAGAGTATCCACACGTGTTAAAATATATGCATTAAATACGAATTTTTTTTCCAGACGTGTAAGAATGTTTATATCCAGGAATGCATATTTAATACCATTTTATTGCGAAGCGATTAAATAACCTAAATGTCATTGTTATGTAGCGATGACATTAAGGGTTTATCTCTGTAGGGAGAATATACTAACCCCACTTGCCCAAAGTGGAAGCAGTAGTCTACTCTCTAACTCAGTGCAGGGTACGAAAAATGATGTGATTCAATAGGAAATTATAGAACCTAAATGTCATTGTTATGTAGCGATGACATTAAGGGTTTATCTCTGTAGGGAGAATATACTAACCCCACTTGCCCAAAGTGGAAGCAGTAGTCTACTCTCTAACTCAGTGCAGGGTACGAAAAATGATGTGATTCAATAGGAAATTATAGAACCAGGATCTGGTTCCGAAGGATATCATAGACTATGTGCAAAGGGAGCTTCAGGTTTCTTGAGAAGTCAAACCTATAGTGAACTTGAAAGGCGATAGGTTTTTGATGTGCATTGGCGAGTCAACTGAATGGACAAGTTAACAGCTCCGCATTGAATCTTAAATACTAAAGACTAGTCAATAGCAAAGATGGTGAGATGTGTAGGCACAATATCATGGAATGCTCGGAAGCAAATATATCTGAGATATAAATACTCTACGTTTTGTAATATTTCTTGTTTTTCTCCATTGTGAACTCAACATTGGAAATGAACTCACCATAAATTCCATCAACTTATGTAAAATTTAGATAAGAAGTATTTTGACGTTTATTCTCAGCACACTAATGAGATTTACTCTGAATTCAATTTATGAGATTGTTTGTGAATATAGATGCAATCTTCTTTCACTGCAAAATAAAAATAAATTTTTTTTGAGAAATATATAATGAAATATAGTTTAAACTAATGTAATATATTTTTAAATTCATCTAATCCCGTCCAAAGGAGGCAAAACAGGAACCTAATACTTATGAAACCTGACCAAGATGTGCAGAAAATGCTGTAACAAATTTGTCGAGAAGTTGTGAATGAGGTACAAAGGCCAACGGGGATTGGTCAGGATGCCATGTTCCGGTTGGCACGTGAATCGAGCAAAGGGGACATCTTCACGAATATTCTTGAACAGATGGACAGGGAATGGTGAGAAAATTCGACAAATTCGTGGTATCGGTGCACAAGCTCTCATACCCAGAGTCCAGGGTTGAGCGAAAAGAATCCACGGGTCCAGGCCCGGAAAGGCACGGCCCCACGAACCAATGTGAACGGGCTATGTCCGGGGAATCAGCGACCGAATCTAGCGATCCGTGGGCTAGAAGCTTTCACGCGGCATTTAACCGGAAACAAATTTCCCTATGCAGGGAGCACCACAAGGCGATGCATGCGGGGGATATAAGTCTCCAGGATAGTCGGGGGCGACACGGGAAGAACAAAATTGAAACAGGGCTATGTCCGAAGAAATGTTATGGTAGCTGGTAACGCCCGCTTAGCGGCTTCCTCCACCGGCTTGAGCCGAAGGATCCGGATGGTGCCGGCTTCCCTGTCAACTCCTGGTGGAGATTGTGTGGGTCCGGGATATTAAACTGGACAAGGCAAATGTCTCCGGCGGCATTGTATTAAAATTTATATAGCGGCTGTGACCCCTCTGGGACCAGATATTGCCCAGGGTGCTGTGATTCGATTAGCCGATTGGTTCCAGGACGAGCTGGTAGTAGGTATTGGTGCTTAGGTTGGCGTTCACGCAGGATCCAAAGAGGTCATGATGTTGAACGTCGTAACACAATTTCCCCGGATTATGAGCGTTGGTGTACCTTAGTACTAATATTCTTTTACTACAAAGCGCTAGAATCATATTCCAAGAATCGTACCTTCATTCTTACGAATTTCCTCTTATAGCCGAAGCCACCATTAGTACGAGGGAGAAGTTGCGAAGCATTTGACTAGAGGAAGAGTGCTGGAAGAAAGAAGGATCGAGTTTCCGAAGGGCCAAGAGGTCGGAAATCGCCTTAAAATTTCCACACACTTCTAGAAATGGCTGAAAAGATAAAGCACCTACTATAGTGTTTCTTTAGTCTCGCGCTCCAATTTTAAAGCGCTCTCTCTCTGGTCGATTGGTACGCACCTCCTTTCGTACAGCGCTCCAATCGTAAAGCCCAAGGATTGCGGTCATATATCTCTTGAATATTTTAAGACTTTTGTATTACCCCTGGTGAGATTATATGTAAGTTTATGGATAATAGAAGATGACCCATCTTTCGGTAATCCATCACAACGTTATTAATTTTGGTCTCAATTAAAAAAGCCAAAAAATATGAAAATTTATATAATTGGTCTTGTCGCTAAGAGGTTGTGTAGAGTCTTTTTTCGTACACAAGACGGATGAATATTCGTTGATCAGGGTAACTATCCTCTTAACACTATCGGTTATGCCATTATTAAATAATTTATTTTGATCACAAAAAAGCCAACAAATATAAAAGTTTATCTAAATGGTCTTGTCGCTAAGACTTCGTGTAGCGTTTTTTCCACACAAGACTGGGATGAATATGTGTAGATTAGGGTAACTATGATGTTAGCACTGTCGAACCCCAAAGAAATATATGTGTCGTGGACACCTATAGCTTTCCGGAACGACAGGGCGAAGCCAATACATAGGCTTGGCTGCTCCACAGCTTGAGCCTTGTGGGGCGAGCCTCAATCCGAACCCCATGGTCCAAGGGACGCGAGAATATAGTGCGAATTGCTAACTCACTTTGGGGTCCGAAGGTGAGTAAGCACCGGAAAGGTCTGGAAAGTGCGTAGTCACTTTCCAAACCCACCAAGTTCAGCGCGGGCCGGAGAAAGTTATAGTTGAATAGGACGCCAAAATAGTCGGAAGGTAATGTCGCCCGGCCTGCTTACAAAAGGTCCAGGATTCTTACAATAAGGGCGCGAATGGCCACAGCAGGGAACACTTTAGACAACAAGAGAACCCTCGGGTCTGCCGATAAAATCCGTTAATTTTGCGTAGGTGTCAACTCCCTGTTGGTTGCAACATGTAGGCGCCACGTAATATCTACCTTCATTTAGGCGCGAAATCATCAGACAGTTTAGGTAATGTAGGCGACCGTATATACGATCGCTTTATACAACCATGCCTGGAGATGGCTCATTAAAGTCATGGTGGGAGGGCATCGTGAAGAGGGTATAGTGCAGGGTTCCTAAAATCTGGCGTTTTATTTTTAGACGCCAGATTTGCCAGAATTAATCTAGAAAATATGCCAGAATTAATCAAGCCCACTTAGTCGACATCTGAATGAAGTTTCGACAAAAAATACAAGGATAAGGTGGGAGGTGTAGGAAGTCCGAATGTAGAGAATCTCGCACGCATCCAAGGGGAGGCGGGGAGTGGATAGCGGGAAGGAGTATCTTAGGTTAGGAATGCATTCCCGAAGTTCTCTTGTCTCGAACGCAAGCACCGAAGTCACATCGAAGCTTTTGCAATCCATCATGAGTCGAAAAACTCAATTTCAGGTCAAACATGGCGTCGAGTTTGGTTTGCAACCGGTACAACGATCTGTACAGGGCACCATCACAATAGTTCAGTGTTTATTTTGCGTCCATATCGGTCGTGAAAAACGGGATGGTGCAGATGTGAAGCGACAGAGAACCAAGAACACGCAACTATTTCAGTTTCCGTTTCGTCTTGAAGCCTATAAAAATCACTTGGAGTCTCAGCATCCTGAAGATTGGAACAGTTACCAACTGCTTTCGTATCAAGAAAAGGTTAGTTTCTTCAAGACCAGAGATATATCAGGCATACACCGTTACCTAGACACAGACAAGTACACTCTTCAGTTTGTAATTTCTCAGTCTCCGATAGTTGATGTTGTGGTGGGAAATTTGTTTTTTCATCCGGAAGAAGACGAAGAAGACGATGTATTCCAACCAATCACCAAGGCCAACGCCATGAAGTTGTTCTAACTGCAACAAGACGTATCATACTTGGTTACGATCAAGAACTCTTTGCGGTTCAATCTTGCCATGCAACATGTTTTTGTTGGACTGTCATTTAGGCAGACAGCCAAGGTGATTGAACAGCATCGTGTAGCGACAAAGAATCCAAAATTGAACGGCCTCAACGATCATATGGTGAGTCAGTTCGTGCGTGTGCTCCTTGCCGTCGCCCTACAAATCATCTCCAATATACTCATGGATCCAAACATTTGGGCGTTTTCTCTAGCGGCTGATGCAAGCACACATTTGGGAGTTTCTGTACTTGACCAGCGGATTCGTGTGTGCGTGAAAGGCGTGTTGTACAACTTCCACCTGGTGCTGGTTTCATTCTTTGAACTCCATACTGCTCAAAACTATGTCTAGCTCATCAAGACTATGCTTGACAGTGTGTATCCATCTTGGCGCGACAAAATCATTTCAATCAGTTCAGATGGAGAAAACACAATGACAGGTAGGCACGCTGGAGTTGTCACATTGCTTGAGAAGGAATGTTCCAATCCTGTGCTTCGTATTTGGTGCGTTGCTCATCAGCTTGATATTGTGGTGAAAAATGCCACGCATGGTGTGTTGAACGAGATGTTTTATAAGTTTGCTCATGCGTTTTCTGTGCATCTTCGAGCTCAAAAAAATCTCATCAACGAAATGGGTTCCAAATGCCCAAAGTACACAACGCGATGGGTGGCGTTTGGTAGTATTCTCTGTTGGCTTTTGGAACATCGTCGTCGGTTGACGTGGAGAATAGACGACCTTTCCAAGCCCCGTCCATGCAATGGTGGATCATTGCATGAGCTCTATCACCATTTTTTGAGCGGATTGCCGCCACTATCTCCTCAATCCAATCTCCAAAGCTGATCTTCTCTCAGCAACGCCAAGAGTTAGCAAAGCCGATGACAGACATTGCAGATAGTTTGGATATTCGTTTTACTACAGATGCAGCGCTGAACGAAATTGATTCTATCACAATTGTTCAGCAAGATGGTTTGTTTGTAACCAAAAATTCTATTGTCATGCATATATTAGATCAAAGTTCGTGGGCAAGGGATCTGTATTATGAGCTTTCAGGATTTGAGCAACAGCAGACATTAGAGTAGATAGGTACTTTTTCACTCTCTATTGTGGCAAACGATTTGCAGATCAAGGCAGAACGTGGTTCTAACAATCATGTCAAGGAATTGGAAGCACCTCATGTGATGCCAGCAGATTTAGTCAAGATGCGTACTGCTTTATTTATCAACGAGGTGGTGGATCAATACAGGGCACACTTGGGCAAGCACTGGAGCACTGACATGATCGACAAGGCGGAGTGACCTGCTACTTGTTTACGAGCGTGAGCTGAATGTGAAAGAGACCATTGACAATCACAACGAGAAGACTTTCTTCAACGAGGCATGGGATTGTTTAAATGAACGTTTTCTGCATTTGCGATAGTTGTGCGGTGGTCTAGCTACTGCTTTTCCAAATACTACTTCAGTTGAAAGCAATTTTTCCATTATTAAATGGGAGAAAGATGACTCACGCACAAGGCTGACAAGTATTTCTTTGGTAGGCATTATGCATGCTAAGCAATTTGAAACGCTGAAAATTGTTATAGCAAACCGCTTGGAGAAAAAATAGTGAAGTTAGTGTTAGTGCCAAAATAGCCAGAATTAAGGAGAAAAATCTGCCAGAATTACCGTTATTCTGGCAAACCTGGCATTTGCCAGATTTTAGTAAGTCTGGTATAGTGTGGAACTAGACAAATGTGCAGGGTACGAATCGTATGAACTATTGGTACAGTGAGCCCGCACATCAGTGCTGCTACAGATCCCTCGATTTGCGCTTCCAAAGCTCGGATCTTCTCGTAGACGTTGGGAGAGTTCTTCACCGTCGGATGGCATACGGTCGCGGATGATGTAGCCAAAAGTGTAGTTAGGGCCCGTGCATGGCCTGGTTGTCTGTTTCCTTCGGCCGCTCTTCCCGACTGGCCTCTGAACTCGCAGCTGACACCACTGAGAATGTAGGGACCTCTTCTTGGAATTCGTCCCCCAGCGGACGGACTGATCAGCCACATCCAGGAGAAAGGAAGTCGAAGAAATTCATCCGGCTGTGGATTCTGGTGAATTTCTTCTTCCGCCATAGAGCAGGAGCCGAATATGGAGGATGAGAGAGAGGCGAAGTGCGCGTGCCAGAAGTTGCAGAAGGATATCGCCGATTTCGGCTCAATCGACATCATCCGAGCATCGATGAAAATTTTCGTGAACCACCATAAAGAGCTGGTTTCTCTGTGGTCTCAATCTCTTCTGATTCTCAGTAGCATAGTGTATTCCGTAATTGTTTTCGTTTTCCTCTATTTCCAAGACCATGCGTTTTCCCTTCCGGGTAAAACTCAATATCAAACCTTTCTGCCGGCATCGACATCCACTGTCTTTGAAGACAGAACCCCCATTTATGCACTATTGCTGTCTATCGCCGTATTCGGTTTGATTAGTGTTGTACTATCTCAATGGCAGTGCAGCTTCGTTTCTCTCGTCGGGCGAATTTACAGTGGCGAGGGCGTGACCCGGGCGGCGCCTTTTCGGTTCTTAGAGCACTTGCGAACTGAGTTTTGGACGTCCTCGATCGTGTATGGCGGTTTTGCCGGGCTCACGTCGCCGATCACGCTTCTGGCTGATCTGAGCTTCAACCACGAGTGGAGCTGGAGCTGGGTGGTTGATGCGGTTGCATTGATCAGCGTCGTTTCTTCAACATTCGCATTGCTCGCACTTGTGATGATGGCTCAATTAGCCACAGTCATCAGTGAAATGGCAAGCTGCTGTATGGAGGAAGTTTCTGGGCGAGCTGCGTTGATGAAGGCCAAGGCGGTCGTGAAGGGCAAGTGGAGGGTGGGCCTGGGCGTTTCTGTAATATATTGCGGGGGAATGCTGCTCATGGGATGGAACCTTTTCCACCCCGGATTCGCTGCTGGTTTCGGGACTAGATTGCTGTTTTCATCGTTTCAAATTTTGTTGATTTCGATCTGGAGGCAGCTGGCCTTGCTGTGTTGGTCCGTCTTCTACGTCTCGTGCAGAGCCTTTCACCACGATTACCTTGATTACGAGTACGCTCTCCATCCGGACAAGGAAAGGATTGAGAGCGGATCAAATGATTTTCTGCTCTGAGTGCCTGTTTTCTGTAAGAGTATTTCTGTTAAATCCAGCCATTCTTCAACCCTTTGATCGTCCTTCCATTTCGTTTTGTATCTGGTTTTGCTCATCATCGCGCGAGATTTCTCCACCACTTTGCATCCTGAAGGCACAAAATATTTCCGCTTCTCGCAGTTTTGGCCCATGTGGATAACAGTTTTAGCCCATGTGTTGATTTTCCAATTCTCGTTCCCATCCGGAGGGAAGTGTAAGCATTCTTTTGAAACATACTCTTGCGATAGTAGCGTCGAGAACGGAGTACGTCTGTCAGTCCGAAACTTGTTGTGGTTGGCTGCTTCTGTTTGTGATGAAAAAATTTCAATGAGTGTTCTTTGATTCATTTTTTACAAAGCACATGCGGACTGAAATAAGAACTGGAAAGAGTCGAAAGAGTTGTTGTTGTTGATATCGTTGTGTTCAGACAGGTTGCACCTTAAGATGTGTGTTCTGAGAAACGGTTCTTGACAAAACGAAGTTCTGCGAGTTCCTGCTTGTGTATTGTAACGGTACATCGAAGGTATATCGGCGATGTACCTTCGATGTACGAAGAGTACGGTCGGTTAAGTTTGCTTCCTCGGCAGTTAGTTGGTTTTATATAATTCTTGGAATTGTTTTACGTCTGTAAGATATATTTTGTCGCGAAACAGAAAGTTTTTATGCATTTAGTTCGTCGCACCGTAAATATATATGCTATGGTAAAAAAATAATTAATAAAAAATACAAATTATTAGACTTATTAAAACTAAACAAATCAATAACTTTACGTTTCATTTTGGAGTAAATTATTTGATGGGACCCGTGGAAACCCAAAACACTTGGTGGGATCCCATCCACGGCCTTGCAGTACCACCTTCAATGATGTCATGGGGTGATCTCGAGTAGAAATCACTTTGCCCAACACACTTGGTGGGACCCCATCTACAGCGTTGCAGTACCACCTTCAATGATGTTCTGGGGTGATCTCGAGTAGAAAGATGAAATCACGTTGCCCAACACACTTGGTGGGACCCAGTTGCAGTACCACCTTCAATGATGCTCCAGTATTATCTCGGGTTATCCCGAGTAGAAAGATGAAATCACGGTGGCCGTTGTTTTCTTAGGCATGGTTGCGAAGGAATCGCCAAAATACTCTGGGCCGACAGTGACGTACACTCTCCACTCTATAGAGCAAATCAGTAGGTTATAGGACACTCCCCACTCTATATAACAAATCAGTAGGTTATAAGAACATGGCTAACGGTGGTCCATTGGGGTACATTCAAGACAGTTGAGTTTCCATACATTCCAGGCGATTAATATTGGAAAACAGTATTAATCGTAGAATGGTATGGAATTGTAATGGTAGAACGCGCAGAACCGCGTACTGGAGAAGCAAATAAATCTTCAGAACGCTAGTGTAATAAGGTGATAGAACGCAAATAAAGCGTAAACATTTGTACGGTTATATAAGACGACATCATTGCTAGTATTGCATAATTGATGTTCTATTGAACCAAATAATCTCTAAAAATTAAATCTTGATACAACAAGTGATCCATAATCATTGAACCAACTGGACTCTGAACTACTGAACTACTATTCAAATTGAAGCTTACTGAAATCGGATTGACTTTTTGTTCAATAGTTTACTATCCTACCTTTTTTGATTGGTTTGATCTTGGTTTTTTAAGTCAAAGCTCTCTTACCCGAGTAAGAGTTTTTTCATGTAGAAGCAACTTCTTCGAATTTATGACCATCCATTTCTTCAGTAATCTTTAAACCAACAAAACTTTTTCCGTTCAAAATTGTGCGTAGCAACCAACAAATTGAGGCAAAAAACAAAATCTACGTGACCGAATTCTTCACCTAATCTTTTCTTCTTGAAAGAAAAAAGTATCCACAAATGGACCTTTTCATATAGAGCGTGTCATAAACTAATTTCTTCGTTTTCTTAATGCTGTTTTGAATCCAAACTAAGTCTTTACAAGTTGAAGCATGTCAGCGAAGCTAAACTTTTGGGTGCGAAGGAAATTTCTTTGGCTTGATGAAAGAATGGCTGAACGCTGAAGATAGGTCCTAGTTGAGAATTCAAAATTTAGTTTGTCTAATTCATCGAACTTTTTTCATTTAAGTTCGCTGAATTAGACAAGTTGAATGAATGTCAATGCCTGAAGGTAACCTTAAAATACATTGTGTTGTATTCTCAACTTTTTGAATTCTCGACTATGAGATTTTTTTCACTTGAAGTAACCGAAATAACTATAGGCATATAGGTATATACTATCCGAAATTTGTTTCTTTATTTCGGATTTCATGTCCTAGTACATGAATCTACATTAGACAATGCACTTTCTTACTGTTTAACTACAGAACAAGTTAGTATCTTAGGTTCAACAGAAAAACCCAATTTCATGCCAATAAATAACTAAAGGTTTTATAGAAAAACTTTTTTTAAATCTAATCAAAAAATCTGATTGCCACCGCAACTGTCTAGTGTGGCAATATACTAAAATTTATAGAACGATTATGAACCCCTATGTGAATCGATTAGAACATTGATTCCAGGACGAGCTGGTATTGGTGTTTATATGTCAGTTTATATTTTCAAAAATAAAATTTACATGATTTATTCATTATTACTTGACCATCATTCAAGTTAATCAATCTCAAATATCATATGTTAGTATTGAAACCTATAAAGATATATTATAAATTGACATATAAACATATATCTAAAGTTTAGGACTTATATTTAAATTTAGGGTGTATAGATACTCTTTTGATTATGTAGATTAAAACTAAAAGAGTTTAGTCATCCCCCTCAGTCTAATCTAATTATACTTCACCCCATTACTCTATAAAGGAATCATTTTTGTTTTCTCTATAGATGATAAGAGTGAAACAAAAATGATTGGTAAAAGTATAACAAAACTGCTAATTTTCCGGTCGTAGATTTGATAGAGGTGCGGTCGTGTGCATGCCCTCTGCTCATTGCGATGCGGCTCCCAATCTCATCAACTGCACCAAAATACTCGCTCGATTTACCGAGATCAGGATATAGGGGAATTCGCATGCGCGCTCTCTCGTCGTTGGATCCAGCCGGACAGAAGAATCTTCAGGGTGCTGTGGACGTTGAACAACAGCTGAAAGGGCGGAACTGGATGCAGCCGAATTTCGCCTCCCTGTAGTTCTGATTGACTCAGATGAGGCGATCAGCAGCTCAAGGTCGTCACGGCAAGAAGAGCGAGGGGCGTGGGTGAGCTCGAGCTCGAAATTCTTCCCGGACCAGACATCTAGAATCCGTCGAGTTGAGGGGCTGAGATTGGCACTGTCGAACGAGAGTTGAGGTTCAAAAAATCGGATCGTCCGAATCGCCGGGCAGGAACCCAAAGAGGAAAGACGTCGAGGGCGTAGTTCCAAGGCCCGAGGAGAATTCCGATTTTGCATGTCTCTGCCCGCCCGTGTCTCGCACTGGCGTTGCGCTTGGCCGCTTGGAATTGGGGGAGACGGCAGTGAGAGCGGTGATGCGCGAAGGATGCAAGGCACTGATGGGCTCATCGGTGCATGGAGCGAATGGGTATGGATTTTGGACTACGCCTCGTTCAGCACCAGGACATGGCGAAGATCCAAATGCCTAGACCTGCACATGGTGTTCTATCCCTCGTTGCCGGTAGTCTCTAATTTTCCAATTAACGGTCTCTAATTAACCGATCATAGACATTACTAAAATGATTGGTAATTAACCTAAACTAAGAGATAACTATCTAGCCGCTGTCTTAAAATATATATATATATATATATATATTATTTTATTCCATTCGGACCTCAAAACATCGAGGGAATCATTAATACCACTCTCGTCTACCCACGTGCCATGATTAAAAGTCGATTTGCAGGGATGACGAGGAAGAAATCGATAAGGAGCATTTATGACACATGGTAAGATCAGAATATTGTAATGAATGAAAATTCTGCTTATGTCGCGTCATCACCAAATGGAGAATTTTCATTTGCTTCACAAGGCAGTAAGATTCAAACAAATCAACCACGGACTTTCTCACAAGGTCAATGATTGTTGGTACCTCGTGAGAATATTTCAGTCAGCCACGTGTTTGGTTTTCTTCAAAGCCTGAGATGGAAGGAGCCTGAGCGCGAATTTGTCAACTGAAGCTGTCCATGTAATTCGGTGACGACGTCTCTAAAATTCGCTTAGCTCGAACGCCGATCCCGACGTCTCTGCATCCTCAATGTTAACATCATTCTGAAAAAACTTCTAGTGAATATCTTGAACCTCTATGTAGGAGAGCGTTGATTCTCCACGTCCTCGTTACTTTTAGACGTTTCAGATTCCAGCCACATGTACGATAATGTCGTAGATCTTCATTACATTGATTTCTTCAGCAGATCGGAATCTATGAATTTTTTTTGTATCGTCAACTCACTTTTCTCTAATGCTTTTGGTTTGTTGACAAGTAGCATCTCATCTGCACATCCCTTCTACCTAGTTCTATATCAAACGTCAAGTTGAATGTCGCCAGAAAAAAATTTTTGGAAGCACAAGTATTCCAAACATTGAACTTGGTTCATGGATATCGGCAATTGCTGTACGTTCCGTATCTTGTACAACGCACCCCAGTGGTACACCTATTGCTCGAGATCCAGTCGAAAGTTTTGTCAACTACATCCATTGGTAGTATTCGCAAAAGATTGAGACTTTCCTTACATCACGACATTCAGTAATCTTAGATAATCTTCAGAGTTCAATGCAATATCGATCGAGTGGTTTCGTTTTCCTCGGCATTTTCATCTTCGAGCTCTACAATGGCTACACCTTGGAGGAATTTAATAGTGGCAAAGCTAGTAGTCTCCAGGTTACTAATGCTCCTGCACTCCACGATGGCTCAAATTTTCGTATAACACCGATCTAAAAAAACAACGGACATCAGCTGTATTCTTCCAGTTCATGGAAGCGGGCTGCATAAGAGGTCCTTAACAAGTAAACACCAGTTTAAATCACTCTGGTATAGAGCATAGTTATGGACTAAACCTGTAATTTGACCGTCATATAGAAGGTCCCTTGCAAATGATATATATTCATGGTTAAGTTTCAACCAAGAAATGTGTTTCTTGAATGACTCCAACCTATCACGCAATCGATCAGAAACTGCAACAATTTAGAGGAAATCTCTAAAGTTGGTTCTACTGATTGGTTTGATCAATCATGAAATAATTTTAGAATTTATTGAAAACATCATTCTGAATAAACTTCTAGCGCATATCTGGAACCTCTCCGGAGAGGAGCGTTGACCTATCCACGTCCTCGTTGCTTTTAGAGGCAGTTTTCTAGCCGTCCAACCGTATGTACAGTAGTGTCGTACATCTTAATTGCATATCATTAAATCACATCAGTAGATCTTTCCTCATGCTGGAGTTCGAGATCGAGTTCGAACCTTAATTCGATGAGGATGGCTTTAGATGATTAATTGCTACGACACTCGTCGGTACACACATGATTCCATCCGTGGTCTCGTAGATTGAGAAGCGTTCTGCATATTCCTAGTTAAGATCAATCTCATCTGATAGTGGAACCAAAATCTGCTTACACAGTAGAACTCTAGAATGACTAACCATTATGCCCATCGTTCTCCCTCCCAATAGAATTCCAGCTCTTCTATTGAGAATCACACAATTACTCTTATTCAGAAGTTGAAACCCTTGATTTTCCTCGTGTTTCTGGAAAATACGAGACCTCTGACGCCGTTCTAGAGTTTTCACTTCATGTCACACAAGGGCCTACGGAGATGTTGATGCACCTAGTTTCTACACAAAAGCGTGTGACATGCTGCATTCGCTTAGCGAGTTGATTACACCAAAATCGAGGACATGCTGCTAAAATACACATTTATCTTTGTCACTTAAGTTGTGCTCAATTCTTACGCGTGACAAAACTCTTTAAACAGTTGGTCCAAGAGGGACTTACGGCATGTACTTTCAGGGTTTTTAGATCTCTTCTATACATAACGTAAATGGGAATATATTGATCGGACAACTCATAGGATGTATTGGTATACAGATTTTTGTTCTCAAACAATATCCATGTCAATTGTAGTGAACTTGACAATTGGCTTCCGGAAGTGGGCGACGAGATTCTATACCACCCATTTATCTTACGGGGATGAATCAAATTAATGGATGTAATCTTATGGATTCAACACAGCAGGAACCTTTTTAGCATTCCTGTAACGAAGTTTTACTCAATGCCTGTCAAAAAGCAGTCCAAAAAAATAATCTCAGTGTCATAGAGGTCATTTGCATCTGGCAAAGAAACCGTATGCAATGTCGATGCTGAAGCCGAGTTGACAGGAAAACCAGGTGATTGACAACAGAGAGATTGACGAAGTTGCGGCGAATGAACTAGAACTGGCGGGTCTTCGTCACGAAACAAGTGAGTAGATTGTCATGCCCACAATAGCATACACGTGGATAGCCAGAATCGGCAACTTCCTCTGCCTGGAAAGTCGTATTGATATAGAGGAATAAAACAGGGTTGTTTTATTTTACGAGATGCAAATTGTAAAACTGGCGTCGTCAAACATACCCATCACGAACATCTATGTACGAAATATATATACAAATTGAGTCATCCAGCGCGATTGAGAAAGCACACACCATGGTTAGAATGTTAGCAATGATTTGGAAATTGACGTTACATTGGACGTTTAGAAATATAATGATTTTCAAAATCTTTCATTCCATCGAGGTTGGAGATTATTGCAATTTACTTTATTGCGTGAAGCTTCAACGCAATACCTATGCAAACGTACTTAATGGCAAAGTGGTGAGACATTAGAGTTTTGATAGTCACAAAATAGTTATTCGAGTCAATATTCAACGTGAATAGGCTCATTGCATTCTCATAAGTTTGAACCTTAACATCTTTGAAATCCCATAACATTTGTCCCACTATGATCTCAACTATGATTTTGTGGATATGACAATGGTGTTGAAAGGGAACTCAATATCAAAGTAAAGTAGTTTACTTTCTTTCAAGAGTGCATTATACTTCTTCCAATGTAATGGGTGCTCACTTTTGAAATGAACTCGATAGTACTTTTGATAAAACGTTAAATCAAATGTCTTTGTGATCGTTCTGCATCAATTTAGCCCTTGTTACCAAATGCTATACAAAATTTACATGCGACGATGACACAACTCCTATCAACATCTCTTTTTGAAATCTCAATATCATTCTACTATTGATACAATGCACTGAACGGTGTAAAGCGTGATGCGGTGGCATTCCTACGCTTTTTCTATTCCAACCATTTGTAGCCGCTAAACTACTCAAGATGCAATTTTGAGATTAGATATTCCGAGATTTGAGACTAGGTATATTAGGCATGTATTTTGCGATTCCTAATCTACTGGTAGGTGATCAACGTGTAATATGTCATGCCAATGATAAGAAAGACGTGTATAGGCAGAATCGCGAACTTGCTCAGCGTGATAAACTCGTTTTGATCTAAAGGAATCGAATAGCTAATAGCTGATAGCCTTCTGGATTTATACAGCAAAGAAAAGAGTCATAGTAGCGGTAGCGGACTCCTGTAAACCATGGAACCGCGTCTCGACCTCATCTTTGATGTCGAGGTAAAGTACATCGTTCTTTAACGTGAAGAAGATAGGGTGAGCGGCCTGGATAAGAACGAGAACGGCACCCACAGACGTGCATACCAGCATGACGACTCCAGCATTCGAAGCAGGTTGCCCAAAGCCCGCATCGACAAAGAAGATGGGATAGATCTTCGTGTAGCTTGCAATTCGGGAACAGCTCGGTGCGAATGGACCGAGCTGCAAATGGAACAGTTCGGTTCTCGACATGCTCGAATGCCAACCGGGGATCGAGTTGCTGATGAACGAGGTCAACAGCTCGAAGAATGTGGCCCAGAGCTTGTCAACACCGTGTTGGTCGCGGCCGCGCTGCTTGGAGGGGTAACATTGTATGCTCTGCTGCAACCATCGGGTGCCGCCTTCGGTTACGATGCCTTGGCCGTGCGCATATTCTGGACCTACAATTGCATGTACTTCTACTTCTCCATTTACACGATCCTGTGCTGCCTGGGCACGTCCATCACCACACAGTAGCACATCACGGGTTTCTTTACCAACACCACGTCTATGCGCGTCTTCTATCCCCATGTCGAGGACCTAGCTGTTCCCGAATTGCAAGCTACACGAGTATCGGAGCCATACCATATCCAGCAGGAGTACTCCGGACTCTTTGAAGATGTAAGGTTGGAACCGGAGATAGTCAGAACTTCCCATGTCGAGGACCTAGCTGTTCCCGAATTGCAATCTACACGAGTATCGGAGCCAAGCCATATCCAGCGGGAGGACGCCGGACTCGTTGTAGATGTTAGGCTGGAACCGGGGATGGTTGCAGAACTTCATGACCATTCTTCGCAGAGTGAAAGAGCCGCAGCTGTGAGGTGGAGAGGGGTGTCGGACGAGCAGGTCGGAACCGTTCGGATTTCATCCGGGTCCTCCAGGTGTGCAATGTCAGATCCGTCCATGGCGGCCGCTCTAGATCGACTCTCGATTTCAGGAAGGCGTTCAGTCCTCTTTCCGGTGGGACATCTGGACGTCGAATGTTTCCGTGGATTCCGCTCTGATGGCGCAGTGCAGAGGGGTCGTTCCGCTGCCATCTGCTGCGAGGATGTTCACATTTGCTCTCGGGGAGTTGGAGAGGAGGTGCTAGAGGACCTCTGCGTTGTCTTGTGTGGCAGCCAGCTGATAAATCGTATGCCCTGCCATCGAGCATTCATACTTCAGGTAGCGGTCAATGTATTCTCGTATCATTGACTCTACACCCAACCTCTGCCTCTCCATGGTGTACATTCTTTCCTATATTTTCTGTAATAAGCTTCCGTCAGTTCTTTTTTCTTCTTCTATCTCTCGATATTTATTTTGATTTTCATGCTCGGAAGTCGAATACTATTCTTTCGGACGAAAGCAGGAGACTTTCTCAAAAACAGCGGGAACAATTTAACAGGGTATGATTGCAGCCAGGGCAGATCCTCGATGAGCCTTGCGTCAGTACCAACTGCGAGGTTGATTTGATCAGACCGCGTATAAATTAAGCCCTGACCAAACTGCAAATTCCCCTAGGTTTCATTACCTCCATGAGCAAAGGAGTGAAGTTGTGAACATAGTCTTCTGGGCAAATGCAAATATTGGGAAATTTAATGAATTCCTCGACGACCCTCTGGTGCCCTCCTCCTACTGCATAGTGCAAAGGTGTTCTGCCCAGCACGTTATCTCGGGCATTAACCTCAGCAGCAGGATTTTTTCCATACTAGTGAAGCAAGGATGTGACGATGGTTTCATGGCCTCCATAAGCGGCAATATGCAAGGCCGTGATGCCGTCGGATGTGGCCACTTCGACGTTGAGATTACCGTCCAGAAGAATTTTATCCACTACATCTTTCTGCCCCTTGGCTGCTGCGTGATGCAGTGGAGTGAAGCCTCCGACGGTGGTCGCATTCGCACTTGCACTATTCCGAAGCTGCGGGAAGACTGTCTCCTCAATTTCGTGTGCCATTTTGTCTGGAATTTGCTTCTATACGACACAATGCTTCGAATGAACATCCAGAAATGTCCCAGGGTGAAATCAACACAGGCTTCAGAAACACTCACTTCACCCGTCGAGCGACACGGATGCGTGAAATCCTCATGATACCTTGGGTAAGGCGAGGGTACTCGGCAAGCAGCGACGTCTTGGTCCTGTCTATATCAGACGACTCGACTACCTGCGCCGAATTCGAGTCGCCTTTCCTGTTGGCAGCCTCTCTGGCGTTCGACAGAAACAAGTCTCTGTTCCACAGCTGAGGCCATCACCGTATTCGAAGCTCGAAGATTGTGCCCCAGAGTCTGTACCATTCAGATCTGAAAGCATCGAGGCGCATGCTTTTTGTAAACCTCGTGCCCCTAATATACTCCATCTTTGTGAAACATGGAAAGAGAACGAACAGACGGTAGCCAGAGGCACCCCTCGAGCCATACCGGGAGAACTCGTACAAGTCCCAGTAAATGATTTGCACGAACCGCAATCCTCCTCGTTGCGGTCCGTCCGTCGGGTCAAGGAGAACAATTTGGCTCGGGATGACTAGTTAAGGATCCAGACATTGTTTGATTTAAGTGTGAGGCAGATTCTGGCAGGCTTTACCCAGAGAGGCAAAGACTTTTGGTCATGGGGAACTTTCGAGCTCATTACGGCCCTTTCCATGCTCAAGATGAGAAAAAGTGGACAGTAGAAGAATAGACTACTCATGCACAGTGCGATCAATCTCAACTTACCGCAACTCATCACTTTTAATTCCGAGACAAAAAGGTTGAAATGACAGACCCGAGTTTTCACTCTGGGACCTATTTCCTAGATAACTGCGAGTCCCTCTACAATTTGCACAGTGGACATTAAGCCATTACGTGGCAGGAGTTTGCAGGGACTTGTTTCGCCAGCAATTTCGCCACCGCGATCAAAGAGTGGAGCTTTAGAAGTTCCATACTGTTTCTTCGGACGAACGCCGGAGACTGTCTATAAAACATCTTCGCTCGGGAACAATGCAAAAGGCCAGGGCAGGATGTCGATGAGCCTTGCGTTGGTACCAACTGCGCGGTTGTCTTGTTCAGGGCACACATCAATTAATGTCCTGACCAAGAACAATTTGCAAATTCCCCTGGGCTTCATTGCCTCCATGAGCAAAGGAGTGAGGTTCTGAACATAGTATTTTGGGCAAATGTCGATACCGGGAAATTTAATCAGTTCCTCGACTATCCTCCAAATGCATCGTGCAAAGCTGTTCTGCCCAGCACTTAATCTCGGCCATTAACATCAGCAGCAGGATTTTTTCCATACCAGTGAAGCAAGGATGTGACGATGTTTTCATGGCCTCCATAAGCGGCGATATGCAAGGCCGTGATGCCGTCGGATGTGGACACTTCGACGTTCAGATTACCGTCTAGAAGAATTTCATCCACTACATCGTGCCCTATTTCTGCTGCGTGATGCAGTGGAGTGAAGCCTCCAACGGTGGTCGCATTCGCACCAGCACGATTCCGATGCTGCGGGAAGACTGCCTCCTTAAGTGTGAGGCAGAGTCTGGCAGGCTTTACCCAAAGATACGAAGACTTTTGGTTCATGGGGAGCTTTCGAGCTCATTATGGCGCTTTCCATGCTCAAGATGAGAGAACAGTCGAACTGCTCAGACCCAAATTAGAGCAGCAGACTCCAGTTAGTGATTTGAATACAGCACAGAACGCACATACCAAAAAGCTTGGAGAGTTGGAAGATTTCCGGTAGAACTAGTACGAGTCCCACGATATGAATTGCGAGGATTGTGACGATCTCCTCGCAATCCACTTTTTTACGGATCGTGCTGTCTTATTCCTCATTGCAGTCCATCCGGTCAAGGAGACCAATTTTGCTCGGGATGACTAGTTAAGGATCCAGACATTTTTTCATTCAAGTGTGAGGCAGAGTCTGGCAGGCTTGACCACGAGATACGAAAACTGTTGGTTCAAAGGGAATTTTCCAGCTCATTGTGTCCCTTTCCATGCTCAAGATGAGAGAAAGTGGACAGTGGAAGAACAGAATTACTCATGCACAGTGCGATCAATCTCAACTTGCCGCAACTCAGCACTGTTAATTCCGACACAAGAAGGTCGAAATGACAGACCCGAGTTTTCACTCTGGGACCTATTTCACACATAACTGCGAGTTCCTCTACAATTTGCGAAATAAATGCACGGCAGGAGTTTGCAGTGACTTGTTTCGCCAGTAATTTCGTCAACGCGGTCTACATCAGACGCCTGGTACTCCGTAAGGACTTGCTTTGATTTGAAGTTGGGTGATACGTGTAGTACATTCAAGTAAAAAACTATTACTAGTCACTAGCATAGAGACACAAGCTACCAGTGTCTCCAGACACAAGCTTGTGTCTCCTTTTCAGTAGGGCGAACCTCTCAAAGACATGTTTCATGTCACTGAGATTTTCGTAGCTAAATTATAATGAGTAATACATAGGTTTCAGATTTAGTGTCTCTAGTGTTCTTGTTCATTACAATATATGGTGCAGTTTCTTTTCCACAATCACATCACATTATGCTCATGTAGTGATCATCAAAAGTTCAAGATAATGGAGACGTTTAATAATGATATATTACATGAAAGTGACATCTTTGAATAAAATATAATCTCATTGTAAATCGAATAAATATACAATTTGTTAAATAGTCCTCAACATAGATATAGTAAATGAAAATGGTCTGTCACAACGCCCGTCCTTGCAATATTGCCCGTCTGCAAACGTATCATCAAATCAGATACTACATGTGTGTAAGGAAAGCACAATTAATTGTGGTCAGCTCCTCTGTGTGCGCATAGAATGTTTCTTGTGTACCAGGTCTTGACTACCATGACTCAATTAGCTGCTCGTGCCAGCAAGTGTCTTAAGAAGTGCTTTGACTTATCGGTGCTTAACAAGACAGACCCTAAACATTCCCCCTCAATGAGCCACTAATGCAAGATGATCAAGGAGGAAATCAAGGCGCGATTTCATAAATCGATTTTGCGATTGAATGTGGAATTTTGTGTTTAACTTTTTCAGCATTTTGCTGGTTGTGCTTTTCTGCCTTGAAGTCTGTTGATCTTAGATCTCTTTGAAACTCAATGCCACCTATATCGAAAAGTGCACAGATTCCTACACACTGTTAACCTGGGAGTCTACTAGTGAGGCCATCACTTCTGGTCATAATCGTTATAGTTCAGCTTCTAGGGCCTTGAACCTGGAAATCATTCAGAAGCAGAGACCAAAGCTCAGGTCTACTTTAGTAAAGGAAAGTACCATTGGAAGAGAGTAATGATGTGCAGTATGCATATTAATATTTTCAAGATTATAGTTGGGATAGTTGATCCTTGCAACTTGACATAGAAGGCATTATTGACTCTAGCTAACTGAATCATGGTTTTGCAACATTCTTCGCACTTCTAACGATATGATAATCCACATTAGTTGGAGGTGACCATGTGCCTTTGGTCATTGGCGAACTTTACATGATAAATCACATTTGCATATTTTGTGGACAGACGCTGAGAACGGATTTGATAAATCTGATTGCATCTATCTATAAATGACCTACTATGTTATCTAAAAATATCATGCTTTATAATAGCAGCTTTAATAATTTATTGCTATAGGAATGTGTACAATTTTGATAAAAGAGTTCATCTTTTCTTTAGTTATGTGTTAAATCAAATTTTGTTTGAAGAATATGCATTTTATATTTGGAATCATATTAGATTATTTCATTAGAAATTTTATTTTAAAAAATATAACTATACTTGATCTACAAAATTCTATTTGAAAACATTATTAATCTTTAAACAATAATATTTGGTGCATTTAATAAGTGATAAATTCGTAAATTGATGCATTTGCAAATGATATGTTGATTTTTTGACATAAATAGTCGGACCTACATTGTGTAAAATTTTTTTTTAAATTATCATTCTACTAAGATTATTGAGAGTATTAATATAATTTTGTGATTTTTTATAATAATGTTTAGCAAAAGCTATCTATTTTCAAACATCCTTCTCTCAATTAATTTTTTCTATAAATAATGTTAGATGGAACACAAGAATCAAAACATTCATGAACAAGAAATTACATAGTTTGTCATGATCGGATTATGTCCCCGGTAATAAGTTTTTTTTATTCAAAAACAATATAATTTTCAAAGCAAGTTGTGTTTTGTTCTTTTATATGTACTTGGTAATTGAAAACCTAGAATTAACCCTCACTAGGATAACCAATCACAATTTTAAGCCTAATTTGAGTTAGGTTAATTTGAGTTTATATTAAGTCTCG